AAACATCCACATCTGCCTATCCCAGGTCCTGGGTAAGGACTCGATAGGTAGACAAAATGCCAAATCCAGTCTGAACATCTGCTGACTGTGCGATGATCCAAAATAATAATAATAATAATAATAGTAGTAGAGTTAGAGTCGAGTAGTAGTAATAATAATCATAATAATAATAATAATACCCCCAGTGAGGCACTACCTTGACGTGGTTGTGGGCTTGTGTACTCTGAGGAAGATGAGAGCTATGCCAGAGGTTCAACCATACTGGACAGGTCTCATCAGAGGAGTCAGACAAAGAGTGTCTCTCCCATAAAAAATATGGTGAGACGTAAATTTCAGAATGCCATACCGGCTCGGACGTCGCCCGGGTTAACAAGGTCCGCACTAGATATTGGAGTTCCTGGATATCTAGTGAAAAATGGGTTACAGGACTCAGGACTGTTGGCTGAGCAACCAGGGCCAGCAGCTGCAGAACTACTGGAAGAAAAGGTGTTTACCCGTCGCAGATACACAGTGATGGAAAACAAAGAAATAATGATCTGTTACTACAGATCAAGTCCAACAAGACGAGGATATCTAAAACGAATGCACCAGTTCTGGAAAGAACAACATCCAGAATCAGAAATAACAGAACAGAGACTAGCAGATCAACGCCGATTTATAACACGAAATAAAGTATTTACAGAAACAGAATTGGACGAACTGCAAAGGTTTACCCAGGGCAAAGAAATCAAAGCCTTACAAGAAGTAATTCAGAATGTAGAGGCAAACCAGGGGGAGTTGGCAGTGAAAGAATCCAGTAGAGATATACAACTGTTCTCATTTGGAAACCAGGCACCTCTTCCTCAGGAAGAACAAAACCCTCTAACTAAAGAAATAAAAGAATTGAAACAAAGAATAACTGAGCATCTAGAACAGCACAAAAACAACAGAATAAGGCTGCCTGCATTGAAGCTTGTTCCAAAGAAACAGCTAGCACAAGCATTAAAAGATGCAAATACTGCAATAGCAAGTATAAGCACCAATTCACTGCAAGAAACAAACCAACTAATGTACAGCACAGCTGCAGTTATAACAGAATACCTGGGATGTAAAATCAACAAAAAAGAAAAACAAACAAACAGTGCACCACAAAAATGGAAGGTTAGACTAGAAAATAAGATCAGCAAGTTAAGATCACATGCAAGCAAGCTAGAACAGATGAAAGAAAAGAAGCTGAAGAACAAGAAGACCAAAGAATACCTAATCAAGAAATACCACTTAGAAACAAGGAAGATCAAGGAAGCACTGGAAATAATAAAGCAACAAATAACAGCTATAGCCAGGAAAATCAGTAGATATGAAGCTCGAATTGCAAACTATAGGCAGAACCTCCAATTTCAATCCAATCAGAAACGTTTCTACCAATCCATCAATGGAGAAACTGCAATGAATCAGTCAGTACCTGACAAGGAAGAAACAGTGCAGTTCTGGAAGCAGATATGGGATAACCCAAAGAAATACAACAAGGATGCGGCTTGGTTAAAAGAGGTGGATGCAAATAAAACAGAAGTTGAAATGAAAGAACTAGTAATAACAACAAAAATGGTAGAAAAAAGAGCAAAGAAAATCAAAAATTGGTCAGCACCAGGTGAAGATGAACTGCATGGGTTTTGGTTGAAACATCTAACTGTTATACACCCACTCATTGCCAAGCAGTTCAACAATATACTACAAGGAGGAGAAATTGAAAAGTGGCTAACAACTGGGAAAACCTACCTAATAATGAAAAATCCAGCAAAAGGGGCAACACCAGGTAACTACAGGCCAATTACCTGCTTACCAACAACATTCAAATTACTAACTGGTGTGGTAGCTGATGCAGTACAACAGCATCTAGTTGAAAACAATCTCTTTCCACCTGAGCAGAAAGGAAACCGCCCCAATAGCAGAGGAACAAAAGATCAACTCCTAATAGACAAAATGATCTTGGAAAACTGCAAGAGAAGGAAGACCAACCTGAATGTGGCATGGATTGACTACAAAAAGGCATTTGACTCTCTGCCACATGATTGGATAATAAAGTGCCTAGAAATAACAGGAGTCAGTAGAAACATCAGAAAATTTGTGCAAAGATCGATGGCACAATGGAAGACACAGTTGCAGATCAATGGTGAGAAGCTGGGAGAGGTTAATATCAAGAGAGGAATATTTCAAGGAGATTCATTATCACCATTACTATTTGTTATTGCACTGTTTCCTCTGTCAACAATACTGAATAACTCAGGACATGGCTATCAAACATCAAAAACATCTGCCAGACTATCCCACCTCCTTTACATGGATGATCTGAAGCTGTATGGAAAAACATCATCTGAAATAGAATCGCTGCTCAACACTGTCCGTATATATAGCCAAGATATTGTAATGGAGTTTGGCTTGGACAAATGTGCCACACTTACTATCAAACAAGGAAAAATAATGAAAACTGAAGGAATCAAGATGCCCCACGAAAATAACATTAAGAGTCTGGATGAGGAAGAGTACTACAAATACTTGGGTATCCTTCAAGCTGACAACATCAAGCACACTGAAGTCAAGAAAAAGATTAGAGGTGAATACATCAAGAGAGTGAAGAAGATCTTAAAATCCAAACTCAATGGAGGAAATACCATAAAGGCAATCAACACCTGGGCAATCCCAGTCATTAGGTACACAGCTGGAATAGTGGACTGGACTCAAGCAGAACTAAAAGCAATGGATAGGCAGACCAGAAAAATAATGACAATGAATCATGCCCTTCATCCACGCAGTGACATTGATAGACTTTATCTACCAAGGCAAATAGGTGGGCGTGGAATGCTACAAGTACATCAGATGGTTGAAGAAGAAAAAATGGCTTTGGAAGAATATCTGAAGAAAAATGATGAAGATGCACTGAAATTAGTATATCAGGAAGGCTTACTAACTACTGGAGAGACCAAACTGGCCTACAAGAAAGACCAAATGAAGAACAGAATAGAGGCATGGGAAGACAAAGCACTACATGGCCAATACATGAAAAAAATAGCTGGGAAAGCAGATAATAATAAAACCTGGCAATGGCTAAGAGCAGGAAAATTGAAGAAAGAGACCGAGGGACTAATTATGGCTGCACAAGACCAAGCCTTAAGGACAAATGCATACAAAGTCAAAATTGAGAAGACAGCAACAGACAGTAAGTGCCGCCTATGCAAAGAAGCTGAAGAAACAGTGGACCACTTGGTAAGCTGTTGCAAGAAGATTGCACAGACTGATTACAAGCAGCGGCATGACAAAGTAGCAACAATGGTGCATTGGAAGATCTGCAAAAAATATCATTTGCCTGTAAGCAAAAACTGGTGGATCATAAAATAGAGAAAGTCATAGAAAATGATAAAATTAAACTGCTCTGGGACTTCAGAATTCAAACAGACAAGCACCTGCAACATAACACCCCAGACTTAACAATTGTCGATAAGAAAGACAAAAAAGTCTGGATAGTGGATGTGGCAGTGCCTGGAGATAGCAGAATAGAAGAGAAAGAACTGGAGAAGATAACAAAATACAAAGACCTACAAATAGAAATAGAAAGACTGTGGCAAAAGCAAGCAAGGGTAGTACCAATAGTCATAGGCTCCTTGGGTGCAATCCCAAAACAACTGGAGCACCACTTGAACACCATTGGCATTGACAAATTCGCTATTAGTCAATTGCAAAAGGCGGCCTTATTAGGAACTGCTTCCATCCTGCGACGATACCTGTAATACCATCAAACATCCACATCTGCCTATCCCAGGTCCTGGGTAAGGACTCGATAGGTAGACAAAATGCCAAATCCAGTCTGAACATCTGGCTGACTGTGCGATGAATGATAATAATAATAATAATAAAGTTGGAAGGGATCTTGGAGGTCATCGAGTCCAGCCCCCTGCTCAGGCAGGAAACCCTACACCATTTCAAATAAATGGGTGTCCAGTCTCTTCTTAAAAACTTCCAGTGTTGGAACATTCACCGCTTCTGGAGGCAGGTTGTTCCACTGGTTAATTGTTCTAACTGGCAGGAAGTTTCTACTTAGTTCTAGGTTGCTTCTCTCCTTGATTAGTTTCCATATTCATTCAGCTTGGAGGAAAGTATCAGGGATATTGCTACAGGGCTTCTCCCAGGTTTCACATTATTCAATACTTTTATAAATAATTTGGATGAGACATCTGAGAAGTTATTTATCAAATTGCAGATGACACTAAACTGACTGAAGATCTAATGCTATTAAGTTAAAGGAGATCTAGATAATCTTGAGCAATGAGCTGAAATGAATAGGATAGAATTTAACAAGGAGAAATGTAATGGTAGGAAAAATGAAAGGGAAAAATTCAGGGAGGGAGAAATCTGACCGGGAAATAGTATGTGTGAAAGTTAAATAGTATGATTTAGACACTAAAAAGTCAAATACTATCTTGCCTTCATCAACAGGAACCCAGAATCCAATTACAAGAATTAGTTCACTCCACTCTGCTGTTCATACCCCATTTGGAGTATGCAGCTCTTGAGTACCCCAGTTTAAAAAAGGCAATAACAAATTGGAGCAAGATATTGAGAAAGTCAAAATTGAGTTCAGAAGAGGACTACCAAATAAAACAGCTAAACGATTTGAGTATGTTTAGCTTTCAGAAGACTGACTGAGGGGAGATAATATAGTAATGTGCAAATTTATTTGACCCAGATGGAGTAGACCTAACCTCTATTGCCTCAGAGAGCAGAACCAAAACCATTGGATTAAGACTTATAAGAAAATAAGTTCAGGTTAGACATCAGGAGGAACTTCCTGACTGTATAAACCAGGGGTAGGCAACTTTGGCTCTTTTGTGCTCTGTTATATTTCTCTTGTTTGGAAAAAAGTACTGGGTACAGCGGAATCAGCGCGTACTACAGAATTTAGAAACAATTTTTGCACTCCGCGCTGAACGCTGAAATCAGAAGCGAGAAAAATAGGTTATGTTAACCATGCCTTAAGTTAAGTTTGTTTACGTTCAAAAATTCTGCTCTCTGGCTCGCCTCACGCAAACTCCACCCCGCCTTGCCTGTCCGGGAGCAGCACCACTCCTCGAGAGGCAGAACTATATTCAAGTTCGGGAAGGTGAAAAGACTCGGCGGAGGTTAGTGACGTTGACGCTGGCTGGTAAGGGAGGACAAGTCGGTTCAAATCTTACCTCCCGCTTGGGCGATTCTGGGTGCGGAGTCGAAGGGGGCGGGACGTTCGTCGCAAGGAGGCTTCGGAAAGCGGGTTTGTGATCGTGCTTTCCCTGCGTTATGTAAGCGGACCGGCTAGGAAGGGCTGTTCTTCAAAAGTGAAAATAAACCGTTCAGCATCAGGGACAAGCCTTTTCCCCTGATCCTGAGGGCCCGCACGGGCTTGGATTTCCACTTGACCTTTTAAACTTAAAGCTCTCTCCCTTTAGGTCAGAGGCAGCCTGAGAAAGTGACGGTTTCAGTTTAGACCAAAAAGAGAACATTTAAAATGAACTACTTTGCTGACTTCTGGGATTAAGAGGCAATCTGAAGAAGAAACGCTTTCATAAAGGTATGGGGCTAACGGCTGTTAAAGGCCCCGGCACTTCAGTGGCCATAATACGCCACTGTGATTTTAAAAAATGGCTTTTCTCATTTGGATTAATCACTTTTACAAGGACTTCTCAAGGATAAGAGAGGTGAATTCATTTAAAATTTAGAGCCCAATCGATTCAAGCTGATAACACATTTGCTGTAACACATTTGCTGTTTATTTTAACTGATTTTTAATTGCATATTTTTGATATCTGTGCACACCAGACCTTACTGCAGATTGTTAGTACCAATCTTTAGTACAAAATACAAAGCAAAGTGGAGATTGTCATTATTGAAGTTATTTAATTTCTCAATGCTATCTGTGATGTTAACCAAGCTTCTATATTGTTTTACACATGTTTACATTTATAAGTCATTGAAATATTATCTATTGAATTAATATCATCCATTCTGTGCAGCATATGCTACCTTTAGAGTTTTCACTAAAATAAAAACAGGAAAGAATGAAATATAAACGTTTTATACAAATTATGTCTTAAAGATATCTGCTAGCTCTTTCCATGTTTAAGCTAGTGAAATTTTTATAAGATCTTGAGTTCTAGAATTTGTTTGTGCAGAATTAAAAGAGTTTGTAGATGTAGTTTGATACTGCAGAAAAGGAAACACCTTAGTTCTTAAAATCTTAACCCAGTGATTCTAGAAAGGCTAAAAAAAAGGAGTATTTCTGTTTGGGGGTAAAAATGTAGGCTGAAAGTTAGCCTTATCACTGCTTTGAAGGTGGGAACAAATATTTAAATGCATAAAAATGATCTGAATCCTTTTCTACACCAAGCCTTTTTTTAAAGGAAATTGAAAATTATTTAGTATTTTAAAATACAATCTTTAGTTACTGAAAATGCTTTAGTTACTGAAAATGCTTCTCTCCCTATTCATTTAATTGATCCAGCTCATACCAGTCAGAATACAAAGGTATCTGTCTGTCCTCTATGCAAAATCTGGATTTTTTACTTGATTTAATATGACATAGAAGTAGACACTCTGGCATTTATTAAGAATATTAGGGCCATTTACTAGTGATTCTCATCTATTCTGCTTGCTAAACTGGTTTACCATGAAGATAAAAGTGCATTAGGAATGTAAAATAATACTTCATCACTGAGAATTCTGACTTGGTGGTAAGGAAAATATTGCTTCTACAGTACTAAATATTGATAATATCAGAATTACAACCCTTCTTAGCTAAAAGCTACAGATCCATTGATCATAAGTTTTCTTACATCCCATATAATATTATTGTTGTACATGCTGAAAAATCACCATCATTTTAACCTGCAAAGTAAGTGATTATAATACGCATTATTTCTAAACTATCTGAATTCTTTTAACATACCATGGGTTTTTATATCATTAATTTTATATAATCACACTCTTGGCTGGTTGCCATGTTATGTTTGTTGTACCAGAGAGATAAGATATGAAAAAAAAAGCCATTTTGTTAGTAACATTAGCTTCAACTGCTTTTTTTGTGGTGATGGAAAAGTACTGGAAGTATCTGAAGGTATGCTATCTCTTGTGCAAAAACATAATATTAAGATAGCTCAAGGATTTCCAATTCATTTATTTAACATACCAAGACAAATGGTGATTTCCCTGCTTGAATTAGGTTTCAAATATTTAAAAAGGAGAAATGCATAAAATGCACAGTTTTTGGAGGGTTTTTTTCCCCCAATCCCTTAATTGCAGTGCTTCGGACTTCATATGGCGGGAGGAACAAGGGAGGGAAACTGAAGAACGGAATAATTGAGAACATTTCAAGCTGCTACCCAGCTTTTTCTTCCATAGAGATGTATTGGGATAATTTTTCCTGGGTTTTGTTGTTATTTTTAATGCAATTTCTAGCTATATCTGGCCTGTGTTCAACTCCATTTGTTTGCCACTTCACCAAATTTACTCTCATTCTTTTCTGTTGTGAGAGACATTCTGCTGATAGACAGATAAATAGTATATACAGACTATGGGCAATCTTCATGATTTAATTCTAACATTCCATTGGGTTGGAAAGAACAGCAAAGTAGGGAAAATGGAAAGAGCATGAATTTAGATTTTTTTTCCAATCCCCTTACTAGCAGTGGCTATAGGAGGCAGCTGTATTTTCTTCTGTATAAAATAATACCTTGTGTCTACTGCTTTGTGTACACTGGGAAACATAGGAGAGACATCCTGAGACATATTTCTTCCATAGAAATATATTGGGAATTTTTTTCTGGAATGTTTTACCCAACTGATTCAGCCATATCTGATTCATTTTCAAATTTAACCTTTCTTTAGTTGGCCTCTCACCCAATACCTATTCTATTTTTGCTGACACTCAGACAGATTTACAATAATCTTCTTTATATTGGGTGACTTTTGAGCCACACTTTCTTTCTCAGGCCAACCTACTTTACTGTTGATGTAGAAGAGTACATGCTATATATTGGGCTTTTTAATGAATGAATGAATGATACGGTAATTAAATAACAGGAAATAGATTATTTAAAAAATGGCAAAGCTGCAAGTTTACATAGTGTGATTCAGAAAATGTTAAAAATTGATGGGACAATATGTTTTGTTTAACTCATGTGTGGATTCTGCATCTGGCCTTGATGATTGGAATAATTCTATTTCTATTCCCTTCTAAAGAAAAGGTAACATGTGAAACTTCTTTTTGTGCCATATCCGTTATCGGATGTTGGTGATCCTGTTTTTATCAATAGCTGCACAAAAAAGTACTGCTGAGTTTTGTTCAAACCAGTCCCTTAGATAACATGTGAATGCAAGAACTAAACAGTGGATTAGCTTGTTAATGCCAGCATGGGAATTTTTGATGAAAAGATATAATAGATGGGGTTGAGCAAAATTTGGAAAGTGCAGAGCAAAGGTATGCGGACCAGATTTTATTCTTCCATAAACATTATTATTTAAGAACTTTTTATCCCATATTTATTATTTTTATAAATAAATTAAGGCAGTTAACATATATAACACTCCCTCCTATTTGGTCCACGACAACAACCCTGTGAGGTGGGTTGACTAGAGAGTGATCAGCTCCAAATCACCCAGCTGTCCGTCATGTCTAAGGCAGGACTAGAACTCATAATCTCCTGATTTCTAGGTTGGTGGCTTAACCACTGAACCAAACTGGCTCATTTTTTATTGAGATATACTGTATATGAGCCCATATTTGCCTTAAAACGTACTATAGTACTGTTAACTTGCAAAGACATTTCCCATATTTGGAAGAATCTTCACAACATACAGTTAATCCCGAAAAATACTAAATGTTTTTAACATACTTAATAACACATAGTTGCAAAATGACTTATTTTTATACATTTGTTTAATCAAGACATTGTTTCTTCTTTGCATGTCTTTGGAGAGCAGGTGCATTTGTATCCAGTTTTATGTATTGGTGTAAATTGTCATGGTTCTGAAGCAATTTTTGATGTGGCTTTCTTCTGCATCCTTTGCAAAGGTTTTTTGTATTGTTAGGAATTTATATAGATTCCCTGTAGTCCCAGGAAGATTCCTTTGTCATGTTTCTGAATCATTTTAGAGTTTCTTATCATCTACAGATTGTCCTTGTTTAGGGATCATGGTAATTCAATCAGAAAAGTGGTCACTAAGTGAAAAATCACATGACCACAAGTGCTTATGATTTTATTTCAGCTTTCCTTTGCTTTAATATCCCAAACAACCACATGAACCCAAATGACAGGGAAGATTTCCAAAACTTTACTCATGAGGAATCCAGGTAAAAGGGCAAATCTTGCAGCCCTTTTTCATCACTCCTTTGGAATGCTCACCCTGGTGCTGGGATAATTAACAAGAAGATAATTGATGTTTGTATTTACATTCATTGGATGGGAAATTATTACAAGAGAATAAGTGAGTATACAATAGGGAATATACAAAGGGTATACAAAAGCCTTTGGTGTGGAACTGATTAGGGTCTTGTCAGTGTCAGGCAGCATTATGCGCCAGCCCTAGGGTTCTAATCAATTACTTAACGTCACAGAGCTGAGCTTGTTAACTTATGGTTAGAACCTTTTAGGAATGTGCTACACTGCCAAGAAAGCAGCTCAGAAAGAGATGGCTTGCTTAAGCCTTACCCTCTGCAAGGGGTGGGGAAACAGGTCAAACAGAACATATTCTAAGCCACAGGTGTCAAACTCACGATGTCATGTGACGTGTCGCAAAGTATCGTGACTTTTTTCCCATTGCCAGCAGTGGGGTGGGCGCAGTTTTGGCGTGACGCATCCTGCCCACAGGCTGGCAGCTTGACATCCCTGTACTAAACTGACTGCAAGGGTGAACATGTGACAGAGAGAGAAAGAGATGCTGCATAGCTTGTATATGTGCACCTTTTTCATCACTATCATAATTGAAAGATCGTCAAGACATTACCTGTACATCTCTCGATCTAAGGCTAAATTTTGTTTTTAATTTTCAGACTGCTGGCTTTGAGATAAAATCCTGTCCAACATGCCCATAACCAGTGTGTCCCACTCTAAGTCAGCCCCTTTCAAATGCAACCATTTTGTACAGATCCCATCTGATGCTTCTGGCTTTTGTCTCCTGTGATTCATGGATTAGGTTTCTCTTGGACAGAATACTCATCAGATATATCCACACTTGGATTTATCCATCAGTTGGGTAGAAATTCTGTTACGGTAGGGATGGACAAAATATTGACTTTCCAGTCTAGCCATCCAGCAGTCCTGTTAAACTCAAAAGTGGAAAGATTTTCCCCATATCCCCATATCAGCTTTAAACTGCAGTATAACTATATACATAGGAATTACCCAAACTGCAAGGTAGTTCAGTCCTCTGGCAGATGTTTGTCCTTTATAAACCACCTAAGATTTTCAGTAATTAAAATCAATTTAAATCAATGTTTATCAACCTTGGAAATTTTAACTGTAGACTCGGCTCCCAGAATTAGCCAGCCAGCATGCTGGTTGGGGAATTCTGGGAGTTGAAGACCATACAACTTAAAATTATTAAGTTGAAACAACTGGCCTATGTCTAAAATATAGACTTGTTTCCAGTATTTAGTCTACCTTTTTTAGTAGAAAGTATATTCCCGAACTAAGTCCTGCTTGTTTTATTTCATAGTTCTAGCTTACTATAATAAGATATTCGGATCTTCCTTGCTTAGCTCCAAAATGGGATAACATTTCAATTACCGTGGTGAAAAATAGATTGATGTAGCCCATCTTTATGGGAAGAGGAACTTGAGATTTTCTGAACCAGTTATCCCCCTCATATAATTTTCTAATTACTATATCCCACATTATTTATTCTAGATGTCTGTTTCTGGAATATTGCAAAGTAGAGAAGAATTACAGTCAGAATTTGGAAGATAAAAACTGTGAGTAAAGAAAAGGTTAAGCCTTCCCAGCTCCTTTTTATTTAAAATTCACATTAACTCTGTCTAACACACACTCATATAAATCATCACAGGGGCTGTACTGCATTGATGTGTAAAGTGTTGTTTGCCACTGAATAGTATTATAAAACAAAATTTAAATTTTGTCTCTCCTGCTGCTATAGATGCCTTATATTAATATGTTGCATTCAATAATTTCTTTTCTCTGCAGGTGTTGGATTACTGATGGAATTCATGGTTCAGCCCTACTAATTTATGCTCACCATGAAGTAGAAATTATAAATAATTATAACAGGAAAAGAAGAATTTGCAGTTAGGGCAAAGAACATCAAAAGATTTTAGTATGAAATATATTGCAAATAGTTATTTATAAATTTGGGGGTTTTGTCCAGAGATTTTGAAAATTTAAGAGATCGTCTTCAAATTGTTATACATTATTGCGTATAATTATTTGCTTTTTCTGATTATTGAACTCTTATGCCTAACTACTGAAAATTAAGATTCACTGATGTGTCCATCCTTGTTATTAATTATATCCTTGCGTCCTAGGTAGGTTCCATGGCAAACTAAGATAAACTTTAATAAACTCTTTTTATCTAAGAATGTAGTGCCATGTTCACAAGGATAGTTCCCATTAAATCTCACCCACATGCAAGACTGTGATTGCATAATTATCTCTTTTTTTTCTTTAAAATTAGCCAAACTTTGCTATGGTCTGTATTACTGGGCTTGAGATAGAAAGATCTAAAGTATTTTTCCTTCTGTTTTTCCAGGAGGGAGAAATTGTTACTAAATGGGTTCAGAAATCCTAATAGAAAGATGGATTGTCAGTAGATTCAATCTGACTTACTGTATGTACATTTTATAGGAGAATCCTTAAAGAAAAGGATCTGCCAAAAAGCTTTTAAAGTGTTCATCCATATAGTGTATTTAATATGAAATACTATACCTATGTCAAAATTAATTAACATGGTAAAGTGGTAAATATCACTTTGTTATTTCTTAATATTTTCTAAGGGTACATAGGCTTAATTTGCTTGATTAAGCCTCTGAGGTAATGTAATAATGTATACCAAATCAGTATTGCATCTGGTGTGTTTTTAAAATTAAAGTTAAATGTTTAACTACATTCTGATTGGTATTTAGTTTGTTAACAATTGACATAAACATAAAAACAGTTGAATATCAAAGACATTTGTGTGCCTATTATTATTTTCAGAGGAATAGTGAAAAGTACATGTAAAAATATATGAGAGAAGTGTTTGGAATAGGATTCTTAAAAGTATACTCAAAATGGACCCCAGTGTGTTCATTGTGGCAAAAATAGCTGGTGGAAAATAACTCTTTTCATTGTGACTTGCGTTTTCTCCCTAGCCAGATAAGATGCCATGCTAAAATAAGAAAGCTTGCTATCTCTACTAGTCCACTCTTGCAGCATAAGTTTTGAAATCTTTGGTGAAGATGGGAAAATCTAAAAGCAAGATGCAACTGTGCTTATGTCAGGCCTGTCCCAACTTGGGCTTTTAGGAAAAAAATATCCTCGACTCCATTTGTAGCGAAAGGTATACTTTTACTAAAGCAAAGTGGTTACAGCATAACCAAAGCCAGAGCTGAATATTCCTGCATACACCCAGTGATTCTCCCCTCTTGATCATTTCGTTAATGTCCCAATAATATTCAAACTAGGTATTTTGGTAAGAGTTCTAAAATTTGGGCCCTCTTTGGAGGCCATTTGCATTCCATTCTCACGCCTAAGTCATTGGATCTTTCAACCATTGTCTCTTATCTCGGGCTGGCACCTCTGATTCCTTATATATGTCCATTTGCCCAACTCCCACAATAGAGATGATAAAAAACACAATTTGCAGTTTAACACAGAAAACTTTTAAAAACCTTTAATGTCCGCTCCTAACATTACCCTACTTTCTCCTCCCTCCTTTTATGTCAGGATGCCATCATAGCAAAGCAGAGCTGAAATAGTGTGATGGCAGATCTGGCAGTTTTGATCAAATATCCAAAAAGAAAATTTAAATTTGCTATTCCCCCCAAGTTAAAATTAAAGTAATTTTACAATTAAATATAGAGATGAAACTCTTGAGTTTGGAGTATTTGTTTTAAATATATTTTTGGAGTGTTAAGCTTGAACTAACATTGTCAGCTAATCATATAATGTTAAACTGGAAGCAATCGTACTGTTCTACAGATAATTCCTTTCTCAATTAACCTCTTGGACCTTTAATATTAATGATAGAAAAATAGAGTATAAGTTGATTGTTATGAGTTATGCCCATGGATTACCATTTACTGATTAAAACCGCTGCTTTTTATTAAAAATACAAAAAGGCCATTGGTCTGTCTGCAACTGAAAAATAAGTATCAGAGCTTTGAACATATAATCACATTTTAGCAGTATTTACTTATATATGCCCATCTGGCCAACTCCCATGATAGAATGATAAAAAACATAATTTGCAATTTAACACAGAAAACTTTTTAAACTTTTAATGTCCACTCTGAAAAGATTTTGATTTAACTATCCATATCATTTTGATCTATTAATGTTAACACCCAACTAAGTCTACATATCTGATTTTGAAAAAGTGAATTTTTAAATTTTGTAACAAATTTGGGAAAAAGAACTTGGACATAAACACATGTCTGAATTCATAAACACATTCTATCTGAATGTTTAAAATATTATAGCTGAATTATAATTTCCATATTGATCAAACTATGTATTTGTAAGAGGTTTTTAAAAAGGGGCACAAACTTGCAGATTGTTTTTCTCTAAATTATAGTGTTTACTATTGTGATGTTTTAGATATGTAATTTATGCATATTCCCAGTAGATAAAATGACATTGGTTTAACAAATTATACACATGCAATTCTACACAGACAATTCCAAATGGAGCCTTTTTAGAGTCTCTTAATCACAGAACATTAATACTTTCTCTTCAGGCATGACTTGTATCCTGACTGGGGAGGGTGGGGGTGGGAAGAAGAAAAAATAATTCCTTTCTAGATTCCAGAATTTTTGTTGGCTATTAGTGATGTTCTCTAAAAGCAGCCCTACTTTCTTCCACCTAATCTTTGAGCAAACCTCACCCATGGTTTTGCATATTCCTGTTGGTTCTACAGCTATAGACTCCATCACCTATGCACAGGCCATACTGTGCAAAAGCGGATCCAGCAATGTCCAACAATCTCCTCCTTCACAGCTTAACACCTCTGTTCTTTAATATGTTTTCAGCTATGGTAGATATGCCTGCATTCAGGTGTTTCCATTAGGCCTGACGCTTCTTGATGTTTACATGACTCTTAAGTCTGGTTTTGCCACACAGGGAAATTACCTTGCTACAGGAATACTTTTCCTCTTCTTGGTTTATCCTGTCCCTGCTTTTAAGAATTCCTTTTTTTCTGGATATTCTTCCATGCAATTGTCATATTGTGGAAGATGAAAAATGTACATGAATATTCACAATTTTGCTGTTTATGTGTTGTGGAGAAGTATCCCTTAAGACATAGATTATGATTAGAAATGACTGATGTGAGCTTAACCAGTTTTACATATATTTCTGGGTAGATTAGCAGATTTTAGAGGAATAAAACAGAATTAGTTGGTATCCAGTATGATTACATTGCTCAAACTATGTAAGACTTTCCTTGAGTAACCGTTCTATGAAACTTAACTTATTTTGCAGATTAGAATGGGAGAAAAAAAAATAGAACAATGTTGAATATTTCTTAATTTAGGTTTCTGACCAAAACTTCTCATTGTTTATTATTGCTTTGTGACCACCTAAGGAGTGGGCAAGTGTCTAAGTATGGTCTTTGGAAAAAATACTGTTACATTTGAAGGGCTCCTGGCATTAACTTTACATAACTGTACAAAAGTTAAAAAAAAACTCACTCTGTTGTCAATGTATTGTTTTACCCGGGTTTATTTAATGCAAGTTGATTCAACATCAGTAAATCAGTTATAGAATATACAAAGTTCATGAAGAGAACAAATATTTGACAATATGTGGCACCAAATAGCAATTACTACTGAGCTATACGTTAAGGAATATAACTCAAAAACCTTAAGTTTTCCTTGTCTGTGCAGGAATAATATGATGTTGAAGTCTTTAAAAAAACCCTATTTAACTTCTAGAGGGTATTATATGTTAAGACAGTGCTTTAAACTTAAATAAAAAGTTAGCACTAAAGTGAAAATATCTTATATGAATGGGCCTAAAACCAAGGATGGACTTCTACCCCTGAATGATCCAAACAAATAAAACCAGTTATTCTCTAACTATTGAATGTATAATTCAATAGTTGTATAATCTCTAAAATAGTTAGTTTCTGGGTCTGCCAATCTACAATTTAACTCTCTAATTGTATGTAATTGTACGTAAGAATAGTTTAGCTGGGTGAGGATGCACCCAAGGACTGCACTGGAATTTTGGGGTTGCAATCTAAAAATAGTAAACTGGGACAAGACAAAACTGATTTCATGTCATTTGCACTTAAATTCAAATAAAATGAAGACTAGATATGCAGGAGAGTCCAGATTTTAAATACCTTCGAATAAATACATGTGCTTAATCATCATTTCAGTGTGAACACTTATAATTCTATACCATTTTTGAGGAAGTGAGTTGTGGTATTGAATATACTACTGGTCTTTCTTCCTAATCATCTGTTCATTATAGTACACCACATTCATTCACTGAAAAAGCCACACTGCAAATAATTATTTCTGTGGCCATCTACACAACTGGGATTGCTAAGTAATAAATCTGTTCTTCTGGGGGCAAAATCAGCAGTTCCTCTCTCAAGTGCAACTCACATGATTAACTTTGTAGATATTTCTAACTTAGCCCATGGATTCCATTGTAATCAGTGGTGGGATTCAACCGGTTCGCACCACTTGAGCAGAACCGGTAGCTAATTTTTTGTTGCCCAGGCCCAGAATGGACCTCCGGAAACAGCATCCACACAAAGATCTGGTTTTTCACATACTTGAATCCCACCAATGATTTAATATGCAGTCATTGTAGTGTTCTATTTGTTCCAGCCAAGAGCCTTTGTGTAAGTCTTAAAATAGACTTAATATAATTCATAAAACAAAAAACTATCCCCTTCAATCCTCCCCAAAACAAAACTTTAACCTTGGATCATCACCTTGCCTTTGAATACCCGGAAAATAACTGTCCCCAAATATCTAATATTTGCATATCCTTGTATTAAGATAAGAAACCCTGAACAGATTTTGAGATGATCTCATGTGAGATTACAACTCTTGTACAATTTCCCTCTGAGCAGTTCTTCAAATTCAGGGGATGGGTGATTGTAACGTGTGATAATGTTCATTGTTGCAAAAGGGTCCGGTTCAAGGTGTTGGTTTTGACCTTCATTGAGGGACCGCCTCTTCCCAATTACATCTGGCCATCCCCATCCCATCAGATCAGGCAGAAAAGGTATGTTGTGAGTGTTATTGTTAAGGAGTTCCATCTACCCTGCTTTCACTCCACCCAATTTCATGGCAACAGCCCCTGTTTAAGCAAGAATAAAGTCTTTGCTTTCTGATTAAAATAATCAGAATCTGTTTATGCACAAACACTGAGGACCAGTACAAAAGGAGGACATAAAAGGAGAGGCAAGGACAAATCAGTTGGCTTGCAGTTCATTTCAAGATCTGAAAAGATCACTTAATACATTATGAAGAATGTGATGCTTAAATCAGACACCACTTAGAACTAGTCTATGACTATTTCTCTCCCTTTCTGCAGTATTTTGACTCTCTTTGGTATCAGATAATGGGCTATGTATATTACCTGCTTTAATGTTTAATTACATAATTCACAATCTTTACTGTGTTATTTTGTGAACCTTAAAATACAAGCATTCACTTATGCATTATTTATAGACTAATACTGGATAAAGAAGGTTAAAGTTGGTTAAAGAAGTATGAAATAAGGATGGTTTATCTAGCTTTCCTCACATACTCATATAAAATATTGTATAGATTCTTCCTAACCTTTCTTTAGATAGAAATGTAATGCCTCCCACAACTGTTTTGGCTCACAGTACTGTATTAGTCAAAATTAAATACTTAAACCAGGGGTGTCAAACTGCCGGCCCATGGCCTGGATGCGTCATGCGGAAGCCGCACCCACTCCATTGCCGGCAATGGCAAAACAGTCCCGATATGTTGGGCAATGTCATGTGACGTCGCAAGTTTGACATGTCTGACTTAAGCATGCAATATCATGCAAAATGAATAGCAGCAATATAGCTGGAAAATTTGTGAACAGTATGCTCAGCCTGTGATATTGCAGTATAGGATTTCTGGAGCCATGTGGATGCTTAATTTGACATACTTACTGAGCAGAAATGAGTATTTTTAGCCATAGGCTTTCTTTTGCTTTCTTCATTGTTGTACGCACATTATCAGTGTTCTGCAACTACCAAAGAAAAAATTATATTTCTAAAGTATTTCTTTAAAGCAATAATCCTTATAACTGTGATTCTTTCTTTGATCTAATGTTCTACTTCAGTGTCTTTATTTAAAATACAATGGATTTTCTGTAGATTACTTATAAAGAGATGTCAATATCAGAATAAGCAGCAGCCTCTAAGCCATGTAGCAACAAACTGCTTTCTGAATATGAAGACAGATGAAAAACAGCCAATAATTTGCTTATCTGAGGATTCTAGGGACATTTCTTTTTTTCTTTTCTGTTTGAGAAGAATCAGTGCCATACTAACAGTTGCAGAGAATATTGTTGAATAACAGAAACAATTTGGTATTCTGGGCTTGAGGTGAAAGAAAATGATATACTTTTCTTTTGTATTCTTAGCATAGTTAAGGAAACATTCTCAGAAGAAAATAAATAATCCAGTCTTGTCTTTAAACGAAGAAATTCTATTTTAACTTGTGGAAAGCTAATTGCAGAAGAGGTTTTCCTTATATTAGATTTCCCTGAGACCTGAAAAGTATCTCTCCTCACTCTTGCTTTTTTCTTTGTTATTCTATTATTCAGTCTTATAGATTGACAGAATTTTATGTAGAAGTCTTTTGGGTATATTGATGGATATAACTTAAATGGGTTATATCAGTCTATTTCAAGTGTTCCTACTATTTCCCATGTTCAGAATATGCTATTTCTGTAGCCAAAGCTTCACCATCTACTAAGAAAAGAATTAACATCAGGCTTGATTTTAAAAAAAACCAAAAGTTTCTGGAAATGCAAAATAGCTTTAGAATTAACGCCTAAAGGAATGGGACAAAAAGGTCAAGGAGAATTAATTGAACTTGATAGATATGGCAGGCTGAAAAAGATGAAATGCAGATAGAAAACTGGGGGAATGGAACAATTCTTCGAATCCTTATGTGATTTTGTTTCAGGTACCAATTATCTGAGCAACTGTGCAGAATCATATAATTGACCAAGTACATTTAGAGAATCAAATCCAACTGCCTGCACAGTGCACAAATTTTAAAAAATCAACCTCCATATGAATTCATTTGCCTGTCTGGGTAATTTGTACCATTATTGAATCTGTTGTTAATTTTTTTTCCTAACATTTAATTGAAATCTGCTTTCCTATAACTTTTCAAAATTCTTTGTCCTGCACTATGGAAAAATAAGGAAAAGATATCGACTTTCTTCTGTATGACATCTTTCTAGGTGTTTGAAGAATGGTTATTATGTCTAATACATCTTTGTTTTCTTCTTAACTCTAAACATACCCAGTTATACCCATACTAGTCATCTGTAAATCTTTATTGTCGTTCTCTGAACCTGTTATCATTCTTCTGAATTATTTTGACATCATGGTGCTGATAATTGTGAACCTTATCTGTTAAGCAATTGCAACTGGCAGGTCCCAGGAGGGGGTTCTTTCTGCCATGGTGCCAGCCTTATGGAATCTTCTTTCCCTGGAAGTCAGGTTATTAATTATTTATTATTTTCAGAAATAATTGAGAAACCTGAATTAATTGTTACAATTGTTATTTTCTCCTTTCAGATGAGTGATATGCTATTGAAAATTAGTTGGTTCAATGAAACATCTGACACCCCTCATTCTTCTTGCCTGTGGCTCCTTTAATCCCATAACAAATATGCACATGCGCTTATTTGAACTAGCAAGAGATCACCTTCATCAAACAGGTTAGTTTATTTAAAGTCTCCAAAAACTGAGTGTGTTGCAATAAGGAATCATTTGTATCTCCAAAAATGGAGCAACATTCCACATTGTTTCAACACATTTTAATTTCTGTTAATTAAAAGTTCAAAACTTAGACCAGCTACTTCACAGCATCTAAATTGAAAGTTTACACATTTACTCCTTCTTGAAATAAAACTGATGATAAGGAAATATAAAATTGTTCTCCGTCAGTATAATTAAGTTTTGCCAATGGTTCAATAGAATAATTGCAGACTAACTTGTGATGAAAGGGGTCTTAACTCCTCTCCCAGATGCTCTCTCTTTTCAAGGTGCCATGAAACACTTAAACTGCAATGTCACATCTGTATGCTAATTTTATCACTTAAGTAAAGAAGTGATATAGTCTGCAATTTTAACTAGGAAGAGAAATCAGAAAAAGCCCCTATATATTCATTATGACTTTGAACTGTTTCTTCAAAATAGAAAATACAAAAGAGGAAAAACCATGTTTTAGCTGCTTCTGTGTTCTGCCGTAATGAGATCCAAGTAGCTAATGATCCAGGTAGTTGACTGGGCTATATTCACTCAAGCACTAGCAATGATCTAAGATATGGATGAGCAGGTTCATTCAGTCTCAATATCACTGATAAATGGACTGTAAGACATGAATGCTTGGAAAACATCAGGAAATAGTTCACAAGCAATAGCAGTCAATGATGAGCAATCTAGAAATATTGTTTTAATAGTATAGTGATACATAAAGTCATTCACAGTTAAGGCTTAAATTTCAAGGTTAACCAGAATCTTATAGTTTCACTTTTCGATGGTGATGCAAATAATGAATATATTGATATCTCTGTTAGTTGTGGAAATAGAAGATAATTCTTACAATGCTAGATAAGATTTCAAAGGGAAGCTATGTTTTTCCAATGCATTCCTTCTTTAAATTATTTTTTATTCTTTTGTTGACTCTTATTGATGGCACCTGGTAATTGAAGATTTTTCTAAGAATAGAACACACAGCTATAATGAGATCCTTTCAGTGTTTAATGGAGACCTTTCTATTTTCACTTTTGCCAATATTGGTCTCTCTTTATGGTGTTACAAGAAAAGGTTGGTATCTAAATCATGTTTAAATATCTTGTTTTTTGTTAATATTAGATAGACATCTTTGCTGAAAAGTGGCTTTGTCCTGGAAAAAATAACTGAATAAGGGTCTCAGAAACTGCTAGAATCAAATGATACCCTGGATGTTTTCCTGCCTAGATGACTTAAAGTGTTTTTATATATATATACTCAAAGCATAGAACCTATACTGTTTTTTAAAATTGTTGTAAACCTTTTTTCTGTCCACTCAGAGCAAGCTACTCATTTTAAAAATATTTTTATTGAGGCAAGATAGAGAGCTAGATGGAGCTATACAAGGTTCTTACAGATGTTTTATTCTATCTAATTCCCATGTGTAAACAGAACAGTGTGGAAATGAGATTGTTTTGAAATTTATTCGATCTCTCATCCTGCAAAGACATGGGCTAGTGGTAAAGTATATTCTCTCTTAGAGTTTCCTTTGAATTATTTACTTTTAGGGGATAGAAGAAAGATTTGTTTCATATTACCATTTAACATAGTATTTCTTTCATTATCTCTAATTTCTGTTAAGGAACAAAAACTCAGTATTTCTTCCATTATCTCTAATTTCTGTTAAGGAACAAAAATAAAGTTCTGTTTTATTCATACCAATGGATGAATTTTATGTAATGATTTCTTAAATATAATGGATAAGTCTATATCTTAGTGAATAATACATACTATTGTATTTTATTATTAATATGCAACCTTATTTATTTTCCATGTCGTATGCTTGTTTAGGATTTTTTTTTCAATGTGATTCAATTTATTGTTCTATGAATGACTTTTAGTACTGACTGATGGTATCTGATGCCAATATCTTTTGGCAATCTCTTATGGCTAACACTCTCCACTCATGTATTCTTCTGAACATTATTATCTTGCACCACTTGCTATGATTTAAAGATGTCAGAAATGATCTATATATTTTACCTTTAATGAAATCTTTCTTGTAGAATGAAATCATGGGAAGAATGTAAAATGCATTTGGGGAGAAAATACAGGACTAAAGAGTTGCTCAGCTCTTTATCAATTGAGATGGAAGCTAAATGTATGGATGTAACTATTCCAAGACTTGATCAGCAAGTCCTAGTTGAAGTTGAAAGTGTTAGATCTGACAATATTCTATTTAAAAAAGAAAACTCTTTCCTTCAGTATCCTCTCTTTTATGGAAGGAATAAATGTTTACACAAATGTGCCATAGCATTTAATATTTTAAAATAACAAGAAAAAAGTCAAGGAAACAGTCGGTCCACTAAAGAAGAAGATGGTAAGGAAGTAATAGGCAGTAGAAAACAGAACTTTTTGATTCTTTCTTTGCATCAGTCTTCACACAAAAAGAAACTATAGCCCAGCCTACCAAAAACATAACTGTAAGACAGGCTAGAAATAAAAATTAAAATAAGAAAGAAAACGGTAAGAGAACACTGACCTTGATGAATATAAATCACAAGGACCTGATGGATTACATCCCAGAGTTCTGAAGGAGCTGACAGATATTATCTCAGAACCATTAAACCATATCTTTAAAAATCCTGGAGCGCTGGGGAACTACCAGAGGATTGGAAAAGAGCTGATGTGGTTCTCATTTTCAAAAATGGGGAGAAAAAACAGACCCAGGAAACTACAGACCAATCAGGCTAACATCAATACCTGGGAAGATACTGGGAAAAAAACATCAAAAAACAGATCTAGAAACATCTAGAAACAAATAAAGTTATAATTTGCAGCCAGCACAGGTTTGTTAAAAACAGATCATGCCAAACCAATATTATTTCATTATTTGACAAAGTGACTAAATTAGTAGACCAGCAAAATGCTGTGGACATAGTATACTTAGATTTCAGCAAGGTGTTCAACAAAATACACCACAATTTACTTCTTGATAAGCTAGAAAAATGTGGGATAGACAGCATCACCACCAGATGGATTTGTAACTGGCTGACAAACCATACTCAACAAGTAGTTCTTAATGGTACTACATCTACATGGAGGGATATAAGCAGCAGGATACCACAAGGTTCAGTCTTAGGGCCATTACTCTTCAATATCTTCATAAATGACTTAGATGAGGAAATAGAAGAGGAACTCATGAAATAAGCTGACAGGAATAGCCAACACCCTAGAAGACAAGCTCAGGCTCCAAAATGATCTTAACAGACTTGAACAATGGACCCTATTCAATAACATGAAATTTAATGTGCAGAAAAGCAAGGTTTTACACCTAGGCAGGAAAACCCAAAGGCACAGGTACAGAATAGACAGTAACTGTGAGAGAGATTTTGGAGTCCTAGTGGACGATCACTTAAATGTGTGTGGCAGCAGTATGGCAGTGTGTGGCAGCAGCCAAAAAAGCTAATAAAATCTTTGGTTGTATAAACAGGCAGAGAATCAAAATGACATGAAGTATTAGTACCGCTTTATACAGTAAAGCCTTAGTAAAGCCACACCTGGAATATTGCATCTAGTTTTGGTCACCACATTACAAAAAAGATGTTGAGACTTTGGAAAATGTGCAAAGAAGAGCAACTAAGATGATTAAAGACTTGGAGATTAAAACATATGAAGAACGATTGCAGGATTTGGGTTTGGCCAGTCTAGAGAAAAGAAGGATTAGGGAGAACATGATGCAGTATTCCAGTATTTGAGATGAGGAGGGGGGAGGGGTCATCTTATTTTCCAAAGCACCAGAAGGCAAGACAAGAAACAATGGATGGAAACTAATCAAGGAGAGAAGCAATCTGGAATTAAGGAGAAACTTCCTAACAGTGAGGACAATTAACCAGTGGAACAGCTTGCCTTCAGAAGTTGCAGGGGCTTTATCACTGGTCACAGCCACCTATCTGAAATAGTATAGGGTTTCCTTCTTGAACAGGGTGTTGGACTAGAAGACCTCCAAGGTTCCTTCCAGCTCTATTCTGATTGATTGAAAATTAAATCTTACCAAGAGTAGTTAAACCCATACTCTGTATTGTGAGATACTCTTGGCATATAAAACTATTTGCTGTTAGTTTTTCTTTAATATTATATAATTACTAAATACATTCAGTTTTAGAGGTAGCATTTGCAATGTAACATTTTTCAGATTCTTGTTCATATTGAAGACTTCTTTAAAATTTAAAAGCTATGTATCTATGTAATTCAATATTACAACACTACCTTAATATCTAATTCAGTTGATGAAGAATAATCTTATAATGTCTAATATAGAAATACAAGAATGGATTTAGCTGGTGCTTGACACATTCTGAATGCCATATATTTATATGAGCTCTTGTAGATATATTAACATTTTTGGACAGACACATAGACACACACAGACACAATATTGCAAGACCATATTTAGAATACTAAAATCTCCCAAAATTAGATGATAGATTATTAGATTATTACCCATGGAACCCCAAGAAACATTTAGATTGTTATATTTTTGTTTTTCATGTAGTATTTTGACATGTTTGTATTGTAATCAAAAGGATGGCACATATTGTCACTAAATAGACATAAAAAAGCTTTTCTAACGGCAAGATGTAATTCTGATAACAACCATATTAGAAATTGCCCTTTAATCCTCAAACAGATGCTAAACATCTTTTGAGATTTCAGGTAACAGGAAGGAAATGGTCTATGTATTACTATTCTCTTCCTCATTTTCTCAAGGATTCTATTCTTGAGAATACCATTACATTCTATTTAAACCAACAGCTACTGTATGTAAAGAAAATGCCTGATCCCAGGTGCCAGGTTGGTGTTAGAATGTATTAATGTCATAGCAATTGCTGGCATCATTTTTTTTTATTTCCCATTACAGAATGAATGAAACTTGGAAAAATTAAATACTGCATGGTAAGATATTATCATGTAATCTAAAGAAAAGATTAGAGCTTCACTTAATAACTCTCTTTAGTCTTGCAACAGAATCATCCTCAAACTTCTGAAATGCAGAGGCTTCTATAAACATAAATTTAAAATCCTTTATGCAGTGGTGGGATTCAAATATGTGAACAACCGGTTCTCTGTGTGGATGCCACTTCTGGAAGTCCATTCTGGGCCTGGGCAACAAAAAATTAGCTACTGGTTCTGTCAAAGTGGTGCAAACTGGCTGAATCCCACCACTGCCTTTATTTTGTGTTTATACTTGGTTTAGCTTTCTTTTTAAAAAAAAACTGCTTAATAATGGAAGGTTGGTCTCCAGAAATTACATCTAAAGCTCTAATAGTATGCTTCTTGTTTTATTGTGCACTCTTTCCTCAAAAAACCATCACTAGACTTCTAGAATATCTCCAGCCTTCCCATTTTAAGGGAAATATGTGTGTTGATGACATCCAGCTGTACTTCTCTGACTTTAGCTGACTAAATAATGCTATTAAGTCCTGTCTCAGTGTCTGAAGACTGCAATGTATGTATAGGGAATAATTGAGCTCAGATCAGGCCTAGCAAACTGAATAGCTTTAAGTTTTAGGTTTTCTGGATCCAGTTATTTTCCATCTTTAATTCTGAATGAGATAACACTACTTCAGGTAGAACTGGCATCCAAACTTGTGAATCCTCCTAGACTTTCAGCAGCTGTTCAAGGCTTTTTGAAAACTTTATATAGTACACCAATGTATGATACACCAATTTCACTCCTTCCTGTATTGAGAGACACTGCACACAAGACACTCGTGCTTATGAGTAGATAATTGTAATATGATATACATATGGCTGCCCTTAAAGAATATCCGGAACTTGCAACTAGTATAAAATGCAATGGTATGAGAAATTATGGGTGTTCTTCAATATATCCATGTTACACTTTTGTTACATGAGCAGAATTGGCTTCCAATAGCTTTTGAGGTGCAATACAAATGCTGGTTGTCCTCAGTAAAACCATTTAAAAATGGGCTAGGATATTTGAGGGACAGCATGTCTCCAATTGTTTCTAACAATATCATTAGATCTTCATGTTGCTCATCCTGTTGCTTGAAGAGTGCCATTTAGTGCGGAGGTCACCAACCTTTTGGGCACCAGGGACCGGTTATGTGGAGAGAGGTTTTTCTGTGGACCAGAGGGGACATGGTTTTGTGTGCTGCCTGTATCCCATGGATGGGGCTTTGCTTGTTTGTGCAGCCCTGTTGCTGGCATGCCACGGCCCAGTAACAGTCCATGGACTGGGGGTTGGGGACCCCTGATTTAGTGGGACTTGGGAAGTGTGCCTTCTCTATTGTAGCACATGCTGTTTGAAACACTATTTCACTAGGAGAAATGTCATGAGAATTTGGAAGTGGTTGAACTGATGAGCTGTGTAATTTTGTTCTGATTTACCCTTAAATGCTATTGTTTCCTTTGTTTCTGTTTTCATGTGCTTTTATCATCTTTGTTATTTGTTATTATACAGTGTTTTTATTGCTTAGCTACCTGAAATTGATTTACAATGAGTGGCAAATAAATCAAATAAACATTTATGCTGTAGGCTGGGCTCACTTTCTTAACTATTATCTTTGACTGAACTCAGTGAAACTTATGAAATGAAATTTGTATTGCCCATTCTTCCATGTTGTAAATTCTTCTTGGTCTTCTATGTAAAACCCCTGGTTATATTTGTAATAGCTGCTTAATTATCTCCTATTACTACTGCAACATTTATCCCATTGCTTTCCTTGGTTTGCCCCTTAAAGGAGGATAGTTTATTTAACAATGTTTTTGCTTCCTCTTTGCTATGTTCCACTATAGCTACCAATGCAGACTAAATTAAAAGATCAGGAAGCCCTAGCCACTAATACTCAAGGAATATCAGCCCTCTGAGAAAATTGCTGGATAGCCTTTTTGTATGTGTGCGTTAATTTGAGATATCTAAGTCCAAATGGAAGACAGCAGAACAGTAAGCTGGTACCATGCATTCCTGAAGAAAATGTTAATTAAGATGAGAAAAATTTCAGTATAGTAGTCCTCAATTACCAATGGTAATTGGAACCAAGAACTTGGTTGTTAAGCAATACACTCGTAAGTTCAAAAATCATGTGATTGTGCTGCTTAATGACAGCAGTTCCAACAATCACACTTGCCATTATTAAGTGAGTACCCGACTGGGTCATTAAGCAAGGACCTCATGTGACTTCCAACTTCTTGCTTCCTCATTGACTTTGCATGTGGGAAGCTGACAGGAAAGATAACAGATTGCTATCATATGACTGCAGGCATACTGCACCAGTCATATATATAAGATCCAGTCATAAGTATTACTTGTTCAGTGACCAATGAGTGGTTCGTTAAATGAGGATTATTTTAAATTGTACACTTCAGTGACTTGATGGAAAGATTATGTGTGTGTGTGTTCAGTAATAATTAAAAACCCAAGTTGCATAGTATTTTCTTTGAAAAACATCTTAATGGGTGGTATAGATTTCTCATCCATTCATAGTACCAAGCTGGACAGACTAATGTTAAGTAGGACTATGCAAAGCATTCAAAACACATTTTGCCTTGTGTGTTAAACATGACAAGTGAAGCAAAAAGCAAAGGAGCAAAAGTAAAGTGAGACAGACAAGGACAGTTTTCCAAGTAGCTATGTGAACATCTCAAAAGCTGCAGCTACTTTAATGATTCAAAGAGAGATGGTTCATTTCTACAAATATATGTTGCAAAGCCTCTAAAAATATCTCTATAAATAAGTTTGGCGAAATCGCTCTGACCTGAATAATATCACAACTGTTATTGTAGAAACATTGGTAGGAAGATCTGCTGTTTTAAGTCATGGAAGAAAAGTGAGCTAAAATCTAATATTTATTTTATGACTTAGATTTATCTAACTTGAAATGTAACTTCAGCTCAATTTGGGGAAACAGGAATATTATTTCAGGGAGTTTGGTTTTCCTCTATATGTTGCTGTTTATCCAATTTTATAACTTATAGGGAAAAAAGTGTTATTAAACATCACAGTGACTTTTATTTATCTGAATTGTGAACTTTAGCATCTGCCTTGAAGTAGACATTAATTAATTACATTTCAGTACATTTTTGAAGATTCTTGACTTTACCTTTTAATTAACATTGTCACTCATATAGATAGAGAGATGGCAGCACATAATATTAATTAAATTAGTCCCTTGTAGCTCTTCACACATGGTCTAAAAATCTGTGATAATTACTTTTTTCACTGGCTAACACTGTTATGAAGAAAACATTTTAAAGCACAGTACTTTATAATAAGAACAAGAATTTAACAAGAATGCATTCTACAAGAAGCAAATAGTTATTTGATAAAATGTACATTAGCTAGGCTATCTTGAAGCTGTTCTTATAGTTCTGGTACATATTTGAATTACTCATTAACCCAATCTTAAATTGTTCTAATCCTATACATGAGAAATATTTCCATTTGCAGAGTGATTTATGATTATATGGTCTTCTTTTTAGTAAAGTCACAGGGACAGGTTATCTGCAGGACCACCTCTCCCTAATGACGTCATCTTGTCCTAGCAGATTGGATATGGTGGGCATGCTCCTAATCCGTCTCTTAAATATTGTCTTATTTGGAGATCTGAGGATCATGCCTTTTCCATGGCAACCCCTGCCCTATGAAACACTCTTCTCCCTGAAGTTTGGCAGGCCCCCACCATCCTAGCCTTCCAAAGAGCACTGAAGACTGGCTTTCCCCCCAAAATGCTTGTTGGATAATCGTGTTTTTATGGTAGATTGCTTGTTAAACTTTATTAAGGTACTATTTGTCATTTTAATGTATACGTAGATAGGGGTGTGTGTGTGTGTGTATGCACACATACATTACATACATACATACATTTTCTTGTGGGGACAAATTGTAATCATCCTAGCATTCCTAAAGTTGCTGAAGATGCTGTTTTAACTGTTGCTTGGAGCACCCAGAATTCATTATAAGATGGATGGCTATAGATTTTTAAAATAAATAAATAACTTAATACTTCAGTAATAGAACTTCCAATAGTTTAATTGCAGAAAAGAAGGAACAATCATTTTTATTGTTCACACAGTGAAGAATTTCTCAGTCTGTCATTTATCACTATTATAATAAAAGATATAAAACATTGGATTGTGTGTATTTTTTTCTCTATCAAGGAAAATACAATGTGATAGAAGGTATAATTTCACCAGTTAGTGACAACTATGGGAAGGAAGGATTGGTTGCAGCAAAGCATCGGATTGCAATGGTTCGGCTTGCAGTTGAGACATCCGACTGGATCAGAGTGGATCCTTGGGAAAGTGAGCAAAATCAGTGGACTGAGACTCTCATGGTACTAAGGTAATATTACTGATAGTTGCTGGCACTGATAGTAGAATTTAATCAAATATTTTAGTAAAAGATATAATCCACAAGCAAAGGAGGTTGCAAACTTTATTTTGCTTGGAATAAAACAGATTGTAAGTAAGAGTCCTCTCATATATAGAAGATAGACTAATAACTTTCACCACTTTTAACACGCCCTCCTCCTTCAATCAGACATTTCATTTTTTTAAAATTCTTATTCTTTTAAGAGTTGACTACAGGTAATCCCCGAGTTACAAGCGTTCACTTAACGCTTGTTCAAAGTTATGTGATGAGCGCCTCCTAGTGCTTATGAGCAAGTCCCGAAGTTACAAATATTGCAGCACCATGGCAGTCGTTCGCCCTTACAAGCAACTGCAGTGACTCTGCAACATTCACCCTGGTTATTCTCTCCCTCCCCACCCCTGCATCTCCCTAGGCACCAGGCCTTCAATACTCAACCTGTGAAGATCGAGATCCTTCACTTTCTTGGCTGCTCCAGGCCTTTGGTGCATTTGCAGAGAATGGAGGCCTAAAATAATGCAAGATCACGCTACTGATCTTGTGCGATCTCATGGTACTTTAGGCCTCTGTTTCTGAAACAGAGAATGGAACCAAATCTGGGACACTTCCACGTGCTGCTGGAGCTGAATCAGAGCTGTGGAGGCCTTTTCCAGGCTGCTGCGGCTTGCATCAGAGGCCAGAGAATGCTTCCACGTCCTGATCCAAGCTCCGAAGGCCTTTCCAGGCTGCTTTCCCCCCCCTCCAAGATTTGAGTCCAGGGAACGCTTCCAAGCCCCCCTGGAAGGCCTTTTCCAGGCTGCCGCCGCCTGGATCAGGCTGTGGGGGAACACGGAAACATTCCACAGACTCAAATTTGGGCGGCAGCGACCTGGAAAATGCCCCCGGATCGGGCTGCGGGGGGGGACACAGAAGCTTTCCTCGGCCTCAAATCTGGGTGGCAGTAGCCTGGAAAAGGCCTCCAGAGTCTGGATCGGGCCATGGGAGGACTGCGGAAACGTCCCTGGCTTCAGATCCAAGCGGCAGCAGGAACCAGGGCAGAGAGAAGACGGATATTTTCCAAGTGAGTCTGGTGCGGCAGGAAGGGAGGGGAAAGCATGCAGTATCTTAGTCGGGGAGGCCTTGGGGGCCTGTTCCATCACTAGGCCCTCCATGGCCTTCCGCACCCTGAGATACCTCATGTTCGCTTAACAAGCCACATATGTTTTAACAAACAAGGGAGTGATCTCGTTCAAGGTATAAGATTCATTCTATGAGTTTTTGAGTTATGAGTGGAAGGGGCAGGCTCCATTACATTCGTAACTCAAGGACTACATATATAAGGACATTTCCCTTGACACAAGAGAATGCCTAAGTTTAGTATTTTGTTGCTAATCTAGGTCCCAAAATTGAAGATAGTTCTGAAATTAATTTGATTACTGAAAATGCAAGATTTTGTATATTCTCAGATTTTTTCATTCTAAATTTCTATAAGAAACCATGTAGGTAAATTATAACTTATACTCTGATAACAAGGATTTTTTTCTAATTACGTAATCCTTGCTGGTTTTTTTCCTAGTACCATAACATATGTTTGCTTGGGAAAAATGATTTGATTTACATGCAGGAACTCCACTGCCGTCTGTCATACTTCTGTCAGCACAAGGGAAGTTGCTTAATACATGGCCAAGGCCTTTGAAAAGTCCTGACCTGCTTGATTTCCATCTGTTCCATTCCTATTAGTTCCTCCACTGCTCTCAGATCTAACAATCCCTTTCGTTTAGCCCTTAGTAAGCCATGTAGTTCTTGTGTAGACAGCAATTACTAAGTTCCTAAACTGAAGGACCTTACAGCACCTTCTATTTCAGGGATTCATTTGGCTCATTTTTTAAAGATATACATAGATATCTGCAATTTTTGCACATTTAAAGAAATATAGGAAATATAATAAAAGGGAAAAAACAAGGTAGGCAAATATAATATGGTTGGATATCCAGAAAATTGCACTTAACCAGCATTTGCTGATATGATTGATATGGCTACCAGTCTAACACAAGTGATTCTGGACAGTGTACAAAGATTCAACACAAGTATACTAATATACCATTTATAACTTAGAGTAGTATTAGTCATTTCATACCATATTTCCGTCCCAAAAAATGTCTCAACATAACAATAAAAATAGCTGATTAACAAAATCAATGTCAAAAAATAAATTAAATAGTACCCAGTACAGTAAGAGAATATAGTAAGTACTGTAATGTGTATAGAACTCAAATGGTTTTTAAATAAGATTAAATCATACATCAATTTACATTTTAGATATGAAGTTATTCAAGACATCAAAACATATTTTCCCAGTTTAATTATTCATTATTCCAGAGAGGATGTTTTACATTCTCAAAATCTCAAATTGCATAGTATTTTCTCTGAACGGTACTAGATTTTTCATCCATTCATGATATCAGATTAGATAGACTAATATTAAGTAATATGGCTTAACATTTTAGTACCTAAGATAATGTTAATTTTAACATGCTCTTTGTAATAATCTATTTTGTTTTGAAATTTGCAAGTAATCATTAGGGCAGAAAGTTGGGTTAGAAATTAAATAATTTAAAACACAGTAATGTTACGTAATGTTGAAAGCATTAGAGGGACAAATAGTTTTCCTTTTGCAGCCCAGGTCCTCATACTTCCCAGAATAGATGGGAACAGAAATATTATTTTTTAGTTGTTGCCTTTTGGGAAACTGGGTATTTAAGGCAACTCTTAGAATTTGGGAAACTCTCTTGTACTTTTTTGGTACAGTGTAAACATTCCCCACAAAGCTTGACATGAGCCCACAGATATTTGGCATCTGGTTTAAATTATAAGCATTTGTTAACAATTACTTAATTGGCTTAGATGATTTTATTGCAATTTTTAAAGTTATACATGAAAATCATTTTATTTATTTTGTTAAGAAGTGATCTAACAAAATACTATTTTATGTCATCTGTCTCCTATATAAATAACAAATGGGCAATAGATATTCCAATTGAACAAGAGTGTAAAGTACTGTTCGCACACATCTTGCAATGCACAAAATTAATCTGGCAAATTCTCCAACCCTGTCATTAAATTCTGACCTGAAGTTGGCAACAAGCTGATTGAATTTTAGAAAGTGCTAATAGACGATATTCACAAAATATATCCCTGAGAGAATTACCTTATATTGAGACCTTTATTTTGTACAGGCGTCATTTCAAAGAGCTACTTAAATTACACAATAGCAGAAAACTGTGTAGAGAAAATACTTGGTCCAAAGAAGAAGCAACTGACTCATCAGTCGGATCATCAGTGACAGGTTTGTTTATGCTGTAACTTAAGTAGTACTTTTGTTAAGTGAAAAAAGCCTGTTACTTTAGTAGACATGCATGGCTGACATAGACATTCAAAATTTTGTTAGCTAGAGCTAATGGTCAAAATATCACCTCAAGGAACCAACTATAATGGAGCTTTCCATGTTCAAATGTGCATGTATGGAAGGCAAAGTGGGAGGGTGAAGCTAATATGAATATCTTCCTTCTCCCTGCAGAGTGCTGATCCCAAGCATTTGACATTTCTGCCTTTATTGGATTCCCAATGGAAAAGCCCTTTATGTGTATTTTTTTCATGTTCTAATGAATGTGCATAAAGATGCATAGTAGTGCAATAAGACCTAAATAAAATATTTAAATTAGCTCAAATAATGTAAGAATATCCTACTTATATACATCTATGAATATAGGTACTGTATGAACTATTGGATGTGTGTCTTTATTTATTTTGTATCCCATCTTTATTATTATTACAATTTACTCAAGGTGGTAAACATATCCAACATACCTTTCTCCTCCTTTTTTCCCACAACAACCCTGTGAAGTGGGTTGGGCTGAAGGCGAGTGATTGGCCCAAAGTCACCCAGTTGGCTTTCATGGCTCAGATGGGATCTGAATTCACAATCTTTTGCTTTCTAGCTTGATGCTGATTGATTGATTCAATTTATATGGGCACCGATGTCAAATTCATGAATCTATATAGCTAACAACAATTTTTAAAAAATGTAAAACAAAACTATAGAAACAATGCATACATAGACTAGCATTGGCTAGTCTAAACAAAAGAAGAAATAGGGGTACATGATAGAAGTATTCCAGTATTTGAGGGGCTGCCACAAAGAAGAGGGGGTCAAACTATTCTCCAAAGCACCAGAAGGCGAGACAAGAAGCAATGGTTGGAAATTGATCAAAGAGAGAAGCAACCTGGAATTAAGGAGAAACTTCCTAACAATGAAGACAATTAACTAGTGGAACAGCTTGCCTTCAGAAATATGGGCACTTTATCACTGGAGATTTTTAAGAAGAGACTGGACAGTCACTGACTAAATTCTTCTGCTTGAGCAGGGGGCTGGACTAGAAGACCTCCAAGGTCCCTTCCAATAATATTTTATTCCATTCCTTCATAATTCTGTTCTCTCTGCAATGTGAGCTGTCAGATGGTCAGAGCTTTGCATAGCAGTCCTCCAGCCCTTATTGTTCCTCTTTTGAAAGGCAAATGCGGTGTTGTTAAAAGTATATTCAAATAATCAGCATCTACGTATTTCCCCAAAAATAAGCCTACCCCGAAAGCAAGCCCTAGCTTGATTTTGGGGGGAGGACTTAATATAAGCCATATCCTGAAAATAAGTCCTAGCTATGGTAGGACCGTCAGCCAGATGGGGGCGTGGCCAACTGATGTCAGAAGCGTCTATGGGGGGAGGAAGATTTCTTCTCCCCCCCACCTTCTCCCTAAGCAATTGCTGCTTGGCTCTTTAAGAGGCTGAAAAAGGCAATGAAAGGGAAGAAAGTGCCTCCTCAACCATCTATTCTTCCCCGGATTGATTTCAAAATCTGCCATTGTCTCCTGACTGGCCCCAAGGCTGGGCTGCTGGGCCTGTTGCACCTGCTATTGCTGGGGGCCGGTGGCACCCTGGCCAGGCTGCTCTTCTGGCAGGCGGCGGCAGGAGCAGCTCCTTGCTCTGGCCATGTGGCTGCTGTGCAACCTGCTGTTGCCCTGCCTAACCTTGACTCTGTTCACCTCTCTGCTGTTGTTTCCGCAGCACCCAAGGCCAAGCTCTCAGTGTGCCCTGGTCTCTGCTCACCCTACCTACTGGCCCTGCTACTGCTGGGATTTTTCTCGGCTGTGTTGGGTGCCATCTGCCTAAGTGGCTGCCTGTGCTGCTTCTGGTCTTGCAGGGGCTCTTTCCCTCCTGGCCACACTGCTCTGGGCCGCCCTGCTGGGCTGCTTCTGCATGGCGTGGGGCGAGTTGGCCCAGATCTTCCAGTGAAACTGCGCCTCTGCCTTCGGTTTGAATGCCAGCCTTCATACCTACTCAGTGCTGCAGATGCTGGGCCACAGGCTGGGCCTCCCCCAAGTGTTTTTTCACTAACCTGCCTTTCAGTTGCATCGTGTTTCTCCATCCATTTTTCAGCCACCACTGTGTTTTTATGGGACTAAAATAAAAAGTTCAATCAGACCTTCCAACTTCACGATATCTTTTTTTGTGTGAGAAGTTGGAAGGCCTGAACTTTTTCTTTTTAGTCCCACAAACACGCAGTGGTGGCTAAGAAATGGACAGAGAAACACGATGCAGCTGAAAGGCAAGTTAGTGAAAAAAATGATTGAGGGAGGCAGGGGCATCTGGGTGGGGAAGAAGGTGTGGCAATTTCTCCAGCTCTGCAGGGGCAGTAGCAACTCCATGCTCTTTGGGCCCTGATGGGTGCTGCAGTTCTCATGGCAGCTATTCAAGACAGGTGTGGGGCTGCCCCTGGCCACTTTCGGACTTTACCCTGAGCAGCTTCTGCCACCTGCCTTGCCTTACCTCGTGGTGGCAGCATCAGCCGGATGGGCTGGAAGGTAAGTCAGGTGAGTCAATGGCAGCAACTAGCGGCAGAGTAGCTGCAGGTGAGGTAGAGGCCAAAAGCAGCCAGAGCCCACCCATGTCCGACTTACACAGCCAGGACAAGAGCTGCAGCACCTGAAGAGTGCCAGGCTCAGCCTGTAACCCAGTGTCTGCAGCACCTAATAGGTGTGCAGACTGGTGCTCAGCCCAAAGGCAGAGGCGCACGCGGTGCAGTTTCACCAGTGGTTGATGGCGAAGGGGCCCTGACAGGCTGGTGGCAGGGAGGCGCTCCGGAAGTCGAACAGAAGATCTGAGCCAACGCAGCCCAGCAGGGCAGTCCAGAGCCGCACAGGCAGGAGGGCAAAGAGCCCTGCAAGGCCGGATGTAACACGGGCAGCTAATGGCACATGATATAGCTGAGAAATGTCCCAGCAGCAACAGGGCCAGCAAACAGAGCGGCAGAGACCAGGGTGTGCTGAGAGTGTGGCTCGTTGCGGCCACAGGCAAACACACAGTGGGACGAAGAGGGCAGGGCCAGCGGTAGCAGTGCTCCCTGTTGGCCCCCATGCTCTCTTCCTTTTGTACATGAAAATAATAAGCCTTACCCCAATGCCTTTTTTGGAGACCAAAAAAGTATAAGACTGGGTCTTATTTTCGGGAAAACATGGCAGGGTTCAAAAAAACGATTAATACATCCATGGATGACTATGCTTGTGCATCCAAATTCCCAAGCTGGATATACAGTCTTGAAAGCCAGCAGTATTGGGGCCAATTTAATAGCTGAGGGATTATGCTTCAGAGAGTAGACAGTATGACAGAAAATTTTCTCTTCTTGGGTTCCATCAGATTGCACTTATTAATAACTGGAACATGAATTTCCTGCTAGATTTAATAAGATGGGATGACATAATTGGGGACAAGCAGTTCCTTCAAATAATATCTTCTTGAAAAGCACATAAAATGCTATAGATAACAGCAATGTTTATGTTTCTTAGCTATGTGCATTTCTCCTAGTTGTGCTCACTCATCTCTGTAGGTACTTTAAATGAACATTTAAACTAGTACATAGTCAAGCCAGGTTAAAAGTTTTTCAAAAGAGTTGTACTTTGATCTAGATTCTAAGAGAAATTGTGAGCTGTAGCTTGTATTATCACTCTATCTGAATCACCTTTTCTCTTTGGATCCAGCTCACAGTAAAGTCCACTTCAGCTACCTGCAAGCAACCAGTGATTTCAAAATTATTACTCCTAAATTATATTTAATCCCACGCCTGCTGTTGATTAGCTTGCCTGATGTTAAATATTTCTGTATCTCTTGTACCTTGTATTAATAATTGTGTTGTGGGTCATAGAAAGTAGTCCTAGTATAATGTACAGTCACCTTTTTCTTCTACTCTATGGTTCACAATAGAAAACCAATGAAAGCATATAAAGAATATGTAGTACTTGAAGATTAAGCCAGATAATTAGAAGATAGTAACTGCATAAAAATATGAAAGCTAAACAACAGTGTAACAACCAAGTTATATTTTTCATTGGAGGCAAAAATAAAATGTAAGAGATCTGTCCAATAATCATAAAATCAAGATAATGACAAATGAAAGCTAATGTTCAAGTCACACAATGTCTGTCCTAGAATGCCTTCGAAGGCAGAAAAGGGGTCTTTTGACAGGTTTTGACCAAATTATAAAGTATAACTTCATATATTCTTTAACTTTCCTTGAAAAAAAGATAAAGCTGTTCTAAGCTTATGTTAAGGTTCTGTGAATAACCTGATTCCTTCTGAAAAAAACTTGAACATTTGAATTCATCTGGCTAAAGAAAACATTCCATATTTTAATCTTTGAAACCTATTCAGTAAACATATTCAATAAAATGATGCTGTTCTATAGATTAAATAAAAGCAGTAAAAAAGTAACAGGAACTGAATCTCAAAATGTAGGAGGAGCCCAACTTGTTTAAAATGTCTATATGATTTATCTATGCTTACTTTTACCAATTCAGTTGTTCATATTTAGACTGTCTGCTTTAAAAGCTGGAGATTGTATATACGGGTAAAGTAATTGTTGGGTATCAAACATGTCAGGACCAGTTTTTAAAAATATTGGTAGAATCTTTCAACATTGATTATGCACAGCTCTACCCAATAATGTATTTTGCTAGCTGGAAAAGTTAGAATTGAGGTGTTGTAAAATTTCGCTTTCTTAGATATGACACAATCCTCATTCTTAGTTTAACAGCTTGAGAAGATTTCAGTTATTTGCAGTTTGCCTTCAAAAAGATAAAAAAAACCTACCCAGGCATTTTTAAGGATTCTTATTGTTTTATATCTTTTTTTCTTCAAATTACTATTGTAGTTCTTCACATTTCTAATTAGGATCACTAATTTAGCATTATATACAAGTTATTTCTTTAAGATGGAATATCTATTTTAATTTCAACTCAGCCATATAAGTTATATGTTGTTTCCATGGTTGTCTGAGAGCTCTGCCTCTTAGTAAGATCTTGTTGAGTGTTAAATCTAGCTTTTTCTATCCTGCTGTTGGTGATCTTTACGTTGTCTAACCTGGCTAACCTTCTGGAAAGGTCTTAGGGAGTGTTATAATAACTTTTGCACTATCAGTATTGATTTTGATAACACCAGTGAAAAGTGTAGAAAACAAAGGGTCAAGAGTTGGAGTATTATTATAGGCACTTGACTTCAGCAAAAGCTATTATCTGTTGTGAAAGTGCAAGATCGTTATTTAACAGTAGCTCCCAAAAATCGAAGAATATTATATTCTCACTTTTCTTCCTATTGAAGTTGATTCTTTTGTCAGCCTTCTTTGAAAAGCCATTTAGTTGTTTAGTTTTGGCTACATATCAATATTTGATTTTTTTTAAAAAGAGATCCCTGTTTTTATCACAAGTTTTATTCTGTCAGGAAATACATCTTTTATCCATCATGTCATTTAATGTCACCTGTCAAAGATCTTAATTTTGTTTACTGAGGAGAAATCTGCCATATAGTCTTTAGTAGATATCCTGATTTATGCCTGTGATACCTCCTAATCTCTCCTTCCTGATTTTGTATTTTTCCTTCTTGTTTTAAAAAAAGAGATAATATTAGTACATTTGAAGTGATCTGTTTATTTTCAAAATATAAACCCAACTAATATGTTTAGTCTCAGTGAATTCATTGCAATTGAAATTAAAAATCCATAACTAGGGGGTACCTTAGGCTAATATAAGATGCAATTTCTAAAGAGCTTTTCTAATCATGTTCCTGCATGCAATTAAGTATAATTCAAAAGGGTTAAATTCTGACATTTCCATATAAAATGTTGTAGCCAATGATTATTGGAAAAGGGTTTCTAGAGAAGCCGTGATGCATTATGGTTTAGGTGGACTAATGACCTATTGCAAGACAAAAAATTTCAAGCAATAACTTTCAAGAAATCAGGAGCTTAACTCAAAATTCATTTTATATAAAGAATCTTTATCCCATTCTTCAGATAAAATGGTATAGCAGATATAGCAGAAAAAATGACAGTTTTATACAATAAAAAGTTAACTAACTAATTCTAAAAAAAAACCTTTAATAGCTCCATCAAATATTTCTTTGGGCATCCATTGTAAAAAAAAAATGTCAGTATCATAATGCCCTTATATAAATCAGTATTGTGTTTACATTTGGCCTACTGGGTACAGCTCAAAAATGGTATGGTAGAGGTATAGAAAGTTCAGAGGAGGGGCAGATAAGATGATGAAGGGGCTGGAGTAGCTTCCCTACAAGGAAAGGTTGCAACATTTGGACAAATGAGAAGGCACTTGATTAAGGCATACAAAATTATGCGTAGTGCAAGTGAAGTAGACAAGGAGAAGCTGTTTTCCTCTTCCCAAAATAAAACCAATGAAACTGGATCCTGGAAGAATTGGTACAGACAAACAGAAATAATATTGTTAAACAACACATAATTAAAATTTGAAATTGACTGCCAAGGTATCTAATGCTGGCTAGCAGCTTGGTGACCTCAGAAAAGGGTTGGATCAATTCATGAAAGTCAGGGGGATCAATAGCTATTAGCCTTGATGGCAGTCTAGTGGCTTCTGAAGGCCAACTGCTGGGAGACTTCAGACTTCTTTGGCCACTTTGAAATCCGACTATAGAATGGTCTGAATCAGCAAGGCCCTGTTTATATTTTTATAACAAAAGAAAAAGAAATTGGAAAAAGAAAGGAAAATCAGAACTTTTCATTACTTTAGTAACTTAATAAGGAGGGCAAACAGGAAGAGGGTGAAGATACTGATCTACTGCCTCCAGAAGTGAGCATCAAAATGAATTTAGTATCTGTGAAGAATCCAGGACTACAAACTCCAAATTGTAAAAGAATAACAGAACAAACATTTAGGACAATTCCTAAAGAATAAGGCAAAGCATCTACTAACTTGTTGAAAAGTACAAAGCCAGTGCTACAGGGGCTGTTTTACAATTTACTGAACTGCATCAAGCGAAAAGTGTGAAATATATTACTACCTGCCTATATTACACATAAGCTCAGTCTGTGTTCACTACTGTTTGCTCTTGGCTATCATGTAAGAAGTTAATCCCCTTGAAACCTTGGTAGCTAAGCTAGAAAAACAAATGAATGTAGACAAGACTGTATAGCAGTGTTGGCGAATCTATGGCATGCGTGCCAGAGGCGGCACTCAGAGCCCTCTCTGTGGGCACGAGCGCCGTCATTCCCTCGAGGGTCTTGCCCTTGGCCCATGGGTAGAGCTCATTCCCCTTGCACACCTTGGTACCTACCATAGCCTCCAACTATTTGTGCAGGTCCATTAGGCCGCCGCACAGAGCTGCAGGCCCGCCCAGCATAAAGGAGGTGAAGTGGTCAGCTAGGAAGCCCCACATAGAGGTGGTAGAGCATGCTCAGGGCCAGCAGGCAAAAAACCACCCCGAGTGTGGAAAGCTGGATCCCCATCGGCGTCATGGCTACCCAGGCCCAGCAGAGATGGGGGAGCACGCAATCCTAGCTGGGACTGGGAGACCATGGCACCGATGGGGTGACAGCTTGCTAGTTGATCGTTTCGCCTCTTTTGTGCTGGTGGGCCAGGCGCTCCAGGTGGCAACGGCAACCTAATGGACCTGCTTGAGCTGCCAGCAGTGCCGGCCCGAGGAGAACAAGTTCCACATGCAGGCCAAGAGCAAGATCTGCGAGGGGCTGAGGAGATGACCAGCAGCGACCTGCTTTCCAACCGCAAGCAAAAACAAGCAGGATGGAGTAGGCATTTCTGGCAGTCTGCATCACGTGCCTCCCCCTCCCCTACTTCGCCTGCTGCTGGAGGGCTGACCCAGTGTTGGTAGTGGGCTGCAGAGCCACAGAGTGCGCTGGTTGAAGAGCTGGCAGGCTGTGTCCATTGCCCCACCCGCCAAGACCCCCTGGATCTCCCCCAACCCTACCATTTGTGAGTGCATTCCCAAATGGTAGATGATTAGGACTAAAGAAAAGGGGTTACAGGAAGAAGGACATTTTGATAAAAGAATTTTTCCATCATCCTTGGATGATGAACCCAAATACTGTCATACTGATGATATTTCACAGAAAGTAAATAATTTTTTTGCTTATGGGCTATTTAAAAATTAGAAGCATGGATTCTAAGTGTTTCATGAAAGGTGTATATGTGCATGGTGACTTATCTGACTGATAAAGTTGTGGATATTATGTATCATCCAGAGACATGTCTAAATAGCATGATAAAGAAGAATGGCTTGTCATTCCTATGGGTATCAGTGACCCTGAAAAAAATGTATTCAGACAGTTTTGGAAAACAAATCAAAACTGTTCTGGAAAACAAAGTTAAGAAAGGCAGGCTGGGAGACGTCAACGCAATGTAGCGACACCAAAGTCCAATACCAATGCTGGAATAAAAAAGCAATGGCTTAATAGGGCTCTTTAGTGTAGCAGTTTTCAAAAAATAGACTATTTGTATCACAGAAATAGTAAGCTGCCAAGTTTCTAGAAGGCTGAAAGATCAATATTCCAATAAAGGAAAAAGGAATTCAAGTATACCAATGGCAGACAGGGAATGAAGGGAGGGAGGGAGGGAGGGAGGGAGGAAGGAAGGAAGGAAGGAGAGAGAGGACTGAAGGACTGATTTGTCAAAAATAAAAGATAAATAGCTGATTGGCTGTTTATAATACAAAAAGAACAGAGAAAGAAGAAACAGGAAGAGCCTAGAGCCCAGCCTTTGCCTATCATGTGCTCAAGAGAAAAACTGGTGGATGGTTTTCCTAAAAGTAAATGATGCCAGATAGGTGGGGATGGAACAGCAGGGAGCCACCAATTGCTATCTTGAACCCTTTCCCCCCACAGACACACACAATAAACTATTCTGTACATATGTAAAATTGTTTTCAATAAATAAATGGGAAATGTCATTAAATTGTTCTTCAGTATATTATTTGATCAGCACTGATGAAGATTCACTGAGAATGCACATTTTATGTGAAGAAAAGGAGTTTGGAGGTATACAATTCTCATTTGAAATTGGAAATAGTAAAAATTAAGAAGGTCTTTGTAGCTATCTGGTTTTTGGAAAGTAGAAAGATTGGTGGACTGAGTTTTAATATTTATTCTTAAACAAAGACTGCATGTCAACAAAGAAAACCAACAATAAAAATAATATTTCTCACAATATACTCTCATCATTCTTGCAGTTGTTCCAGAGCTAAAACTTCTCTGCGGAGCTGATGTTCTGAAGACATTTCACACACCTAATCTCTGGAAAAAAGAACATATTATAGAAATAGTGGAAAGGTTTGGACTGGTTTGTGTTAGTCGTGCTGGCCATGATCCTTCTCAGTATATAACTAACTTAGAGTTTTTAAATAACTGCCAGCATAATATCCACTTAGTAAAAGAGTGGGTTCTAAATGAAATCAGTGCTACGAGCATAAGGTGTGCCTTGCGCAAAGGACAAAGTGTGAAATACTTGATTCCAGACTCTGTTATTTCTTACATTAAGCAACACAATATATATATCAAAAAGATTGAATGAAATAAATTAAAGAAAATGGTGTAGTCCTTTAAAGTATTCATGCTGTCTACTTCACTTAAAAAAAGGTATTGATAAGATTGACTGAGTCCAAAGACGGGCAACAAAAAAGGTGCAAAGTCTGAGGGCCAAACATATCAGAAGAGATTGGATGAACTGAATATGTACAGTTTGGATGACAGAAGGGAAAGTGGGGGAGACATGATTGAAACCTTTAAATATATTAAGAGTGTGAATAAGGTTCTAGAAGGAAAATGTTTCAATACAAGTAGTCTTCAACTTATGATTTAAATTGAGCCCAAAATTTCTGTTGCTAAGCGAGACAGTTGTTAAATGAGTTTTATGACCTTTCTTGCCACAGTTGTTAAGTGAATCACTGCAGTTGTTAAGTTAGTAACCTGGTTGTCAAATGAATTTGAGTTTCCCATACATTTTATTTGTCAGAAGTTCATAAAAGTCGATCATATAACCCCAGGACACTGCAACTGTCATAAATATGAGCCAGTTGTCAAGCATCTGAATTTTGATCACATGACCATGGGGCTGCTGCAATTATTATTAATTCAAGTTCTTTTAGTGCCATTGTAACTTCAAATGGTCACTAAACAAACTGTTTTAAGTTGAAGACTACCTCTATTAAGCGAAAATCAAGAACCTGGGACATAATCTCAAACTGACAGGAGTTCAAAAGTATTGTTAGAAAGTATTACGTCATACAAAGAGTAGTGGAAGATTGGAACCAACTTCCAGCAGAGATAGTGGGTCAATCACTATCTTGGGATGCTTGGGATAAATACATGTTTATCAACTGACAAAAAAAATTAAAAAATAGAATAAAAATAATGAAATAAAAATAATTAACAATTAAAGTATTAAAAAGAAAGTGAACCTAGACAAACAAATAAAACACTCAGAGGGCAGCCTCAATGGACCATTGGGCCTTTTTCTGCCATCAGTTTTAGCTCCCACTACTTGGTTTACTTTCTATTGACAGAAGTGTTTGTGTGTGCCTGTGTGAGACCTATTGGAGATAATTTGGAAGAAATCCACTAAATGCAAAATTTGCATATAACAATGTGAACATTTCTAGAGATTGCATTTAAAACTGGATTTCCCCACTCTAAATAAACAATCAAGATTCATGACAGATGCTGTTCCTGTATTAAAGTGACTAAATAAAGCAATTTAATCTCACCTGATTTCATGATACTAAAGCTTGAAAGTATTGGAATCTTGTGTACACATTGGAAACATAATATTTTTTTAATGAAGCCTTGGCCTAATTGAAATATGGTAAATTAAGAATTTGTTAGTATAAAAGGTATTTTGCTTTGTTTTGGAAGAAAATGTTTTAGTTAACATTTCAGTGTGAGTTTTTTTAATACATCTTGAATTATTTCTCTAACCTTTCATCATACCAAGTGCCATAATGCTCTTAATGCATCTATTTTAACATTAAATTGTCAGCCACTATGTTAGAATAGAAGAAACAATTCTGCTTGTCAACACTGGATTTGTAAGGCTTCTCTGGTTATATTTATGCCATTACATCATTCACATTTTCTAAACATTAAAGAAAAAAGCTATATAGTTTTGGTTAATTACTATCTATTATCTATGGGCATTTCACTAGTCCTTCAAATAAATTCAAAGAAAATTAGTTCATTTTCAGATATATAAGTATTTTAACCATGAGTACAAAGATCAGAAGACAAAAAATGTAGCATGCTGCTCTATCTTATAGGACTTCAGGAAGCTATTCAAGCAAAATGTTGCCTGAAACTTGAATATATGCTTCAACAGTGAAAGTTGGGTTCTTCAGAGCCAATCAAAAATGTTGATTAGCTGAAGGGCATATTCCCTTTCAGTGGTAGAGTCAGCAAGCTATGGAGAAATTTGCCTGTTCCTTGATTCTAACTGGTAGCAGCACAAACATTGTCTTAAGTAAGCTGGAACTAGCATTTCTTTTCAAGCAGCAAACCTACTTTTTATTGCTTTTTTCCTGTCCATTGTCCTTTGACCTGCTTAACAAAAGGAAACCATTTACAGAAACATTTCCACCCTCTTATTAGGAGGAGACAATATCAGTCAGAATTCTGAAGAATACTTATTTTGCTATACTTCCACAGACTTGGAAGTATACAAGTATATTTTGCTATACTTCCACAGATGGCAGAATATAATTCAGGCTTAAAGAAATGTTGGTTTCTATACAATTTTATACAAAAAAAATATTTTGTATGCTAGTTGTTTCTGATAAAACTTTTCTTTGCTCCAGAAACTAATTTCAATGCACTTTCTTAAAATAGCTAGTCTGAGCTTTGCCATTCTCAAATAACATTGCTTTTTGTTTTGAGGATGAACAGAAAAAGAAAGGAAGTAAATAAACATCTGATAAAGGAAGATTGCCTTTTCCAACCCTATAGCTACAGTACAGGACTTTTGATATTGAGGCCTGGATTCAGATTCTACATCTTTGAAGCTAAAGGGTACATGTTATTCTGAACATGTTAGAGTTAGACCATTTGTTTGTACTATTATATTTCAAGGTTGTCTTACAAGCATTTCTTTTAAGAAGTCATATCAACTCATGGTGTGGGTGTGAGTATTAAAACCTAACGATTCAAGATTTAAATAAAAGGAATCAAATTCAATAAACTTTTGATAACTGAGCTCAGTCTTGAAGACTTTGAAATGAATACATAAAATTAACAACACATGATTTATCTTGATATAATTCAGTAGAACTTGGATTATAATATTCTTCAAAGATCTCTTTATTTAGAGACATAACAAGAAATATTCCATATTAACTAATTCAACTAATTTAATCTTGAATTCATGCTACACTGAAAAGCATTTGTTCTGCAATAGGATTGTTAAAATTTCCCTGTTGTATTTCTAATATAGTCAAATGTGATTCCTTTCAAGCAACAGCATATTGTTGAATAATGCAGTACAACATGTATTTTTTCTTTACTTGCTTACTTGCACAGGAGTTAATAGGTTTCTGTGAAGTACTGCTTATTCCTCAGTCTGAAAAGACTTCACATTCTCTTAGCTGAAAACGTGTTCTGATTAATAAAATGCTTACTTCTGCTAGAGATGCTGGGTGTTAGTCCAATATTACAAGGTTGAATGAGTAATGCCTGGCACATTTTCAGCCATCTATTAACTAGCTAGTTAATATCTGCCATCTTATATCACTAAAGAATTACTGCATTAAGCATGGTTTGTTGAACAAATTTGGTTATTCATTAAAAAATTACAATTCCTTTTTAGTGAGTAACCTCTTTTTGCAGTTGGAAATCAGTTTTTTAAAGACTATAATATTGCATCATCCTTATTAGGTCAAATAAAATAACCACTCAAAACAGTGGCTAGAATTTATCACTATCAGTAAAAGACATCTTTTTTGTTTAGTCATTTGAAAGCAAAAATCAGCCATTGTTAAAAAAAAACTGTCTAGATAAACAGTGACCTTACAACTGTCCTGTAGAAGGAGAGTGACATACTCCGTTGAAATCAAACTAGCCCGTAAGCAAAAATGTTCAGCTTTGTAGAAGAACCTAAAAATAACACTTCAATGCTAATCAGCTTAAAGGAACTAGCTTAGCTGTACTGCTAGACCAGCAGATAAAATAAACTAAGAGCTCAAACTTGCTTCTAGAAAAGGGACTGAGCTGGATGGTGCAGAATTAAAACACTAGACAAAAGCTAGTGTTTGCAGACGAAAGCTAGTGCCTGCAGATTTCAATGGTTATTGGAAAATGCTCAGTAATGAGAATTTTGAGGAGTATTTGAAAGCTATAGGTAAGATTTTTTTCACTTTTTTCTTTTATTTGGGCCTCAGGTTGAATTATACGATTTCACTAGATATGCAATTTGCATGAAAATATTCTTAGCACCTAGTTTTTTTATTAATATTGCTCTTGTGTGGAACTGAAGCAGTTTTTAAAGAAATAAAATCCATAAAGTTATATTTATATTTATTCTAGAACTTTATTTATTCCATATATGGCATAAGGTATAAAGTTTAATGACTTGGAAGGGCAGGTTTAAAATTATAAGATTTTTTTCCTAATTTAAACCATATATTTCCACACATTAAAGAATAAAAAACCAGATCTGGGACAGAAAAATCTGGTTGATCACTTAGTCAGCAAAGAGCCAGTTTTCTTTGTCTTCATCTAGAAATTGTCTGGATTTTTTTCAGGCCAGATCTGGTAATCTTATTTTAAAAGGAAGCATGAGTTACTATTAACCTATTTTGAATTTTAGATTTAAACAGCAGCAGTTTTCAGTGTTTCCTCAAATTTAATTTTATAAATTGTTCTAGCCTCTCTTTTTTTCTTACAGATGTAAATACTGTAGTGAGAAAAATAGCCAATAGACTCAAACCTGACAAAGAGATTATTCAGGTTGGAAACCATATGATCATTAAAACCCTAAACAGTTTTAAAAACTACATCATAGACTTCGAAATAGGGACAGAATTTGAAGAGGATTTAACAGGAGTGGATGGTCACAAATGTATGGTAAGATTTAGAATGTTGCTCCTGTAGGATTAAATTATTAGCTTAAAAATCCTGCTTCACTATTGTCACTGGTTTTGTGGCAAGACTTTTCAGATAATCATGCTTTGGTATTCAGCTATATTTTAGCCAAAAAATTCAGTCCAATATGTATTTTCAAAAAAACCAGCTGAAATTTACAATTGTATAACATTCAACAGTAAGCCATATTAAATTCAGTGGGCCTTACTTTCAGATAAATCGGTACAAAATATATTTTTTCATTAAGGCTAGAAACCCACAAATATATTTCTGCATTGAATTCTTGATGGCATTAAAGATATTTCCACGTAATACTGAACAGCATTGTAAAAACAATTCTTGATTTTGCATTTAAATTGATAAATTTACAAAAGTGGTTTCTAGGCACATTGTGATAGTTATATAAAGTAATACTTAGATATATTTGTTCATCTGATTATCCTATAAATATATTTCCGCATGGAAATCTTGTGGCATTAAGATTATATCCATATACAATGAACTGCATTATAAAAATACCCTTGATTTCTCAACTATGTTCATAAATTTACAAAAGTTGTTCCTAGGCAAATTTTGGCAATTATACAATACAGTCCTTCACTCCTCAGGTATGTTTATTAACCTGAATCGGATTTGTGATAGAATAGACTCCTACGTATCATAAATTGAGTAACAGCAACAGGTATTTATTACTTTTCCTTTTACATTTCACTAATGACTCTAAATAAACCAAGAATGAATGCACATTTTCTTGAAAAGATACTTATATCAGAAACAACATGCTTAATGGAAGTGAAAATTTAGGTCTTCCTTTTGACAGAGAAACAGTATTGTGACTTTCATAAGAAATAATATTAATTAGTGGCACAAGCTCGCTAAGTCAAAGCCTAAAATATGCTGCTTGTTAGTCTCAGACAAACACGAATCAAGGGATTTCCAACCACAAATAGCTATTTAGATGGGGGGAAAGGTTTATAAATAGAAAAGAAATAAAACATTCTGAGTGAGCACTGCTTCGTTCTATACTTAAGAAAACAAAAAATTCTCATATTACAGAAGGTGAAAAGATAAGTTTGAATTTTGTTTTGACACTAAGCAATGTCACTTTACATAAACTGGGTTATCAAAACAGAATGTAAGGTGGAAATGAAATGAATGACAGTTTATTGGTTTTAAATAGATAGTATACTATATTTTTCTTCATAAATGGCTGAAAATCTTTTAGTCTAAACGTATGAAGAAAAGATACAATGTCTTCCTAAAGAATCTAGTCATCTAGTCCAACCCCTGTCCAGTCTCTTCTTAAAAACTTCCAGTGTTAGACCATTCACAGGCTTCTGGAGGCAGGTTGTTCCATTGATTAATTATTCTAATCATCAGGAAGTTTCTCCTTAGTTCTAGGTTTCTTTGATTAGTTTCCATCCATTGCTTCTTGTCCTGCCTTCAGGTGCTTTGGAGAATAGCTTGACTCTTCTCTTCTTTGTGGCAACCCCTGAGATATTGGAACACTACTATCATGTCACCCCTAGTCCTTCTCTTCATTAAACTAAACATACCCAATTCCAGCAACCATTCTTTATATGTTTTAGCCTCCAGTCCCCTAATGATCTTTGTTGCTCTTCAGACAACTGGAGGTTAAAACATATAAGGAACGGTTGCTGGAATTGGGTATGTCTAGTTTAATGAAGAGAAGAACTAGGGATGATGTGATAGCAGTGTTCCAATATCTCAGGGGTTGCCACAAAGAAAAGAGAGTCAAGCTATTCTCCAAAGCACCTGAAAGCAGGGTAAGAAGCAATGAATGGAAATTAATCAAAGAGAGAAGCAACCTAGAACTAAGGAGAAATTTCCTGATGATTAGAACAATTAATTAGTGGAACAATCTGCCTCCAGAAGTTCTGAATGCTCCAATACTGGAAGTTTTAAAGAAGAGACTGGACAGCCATTTGTCTGAAATGGTATAGGGTTTCCTGCCTGAGCAGGGGGTTGGACTAGATGACCTCTAAGGTCCCTTCCAAGTATTGTTTGAAGTAATTAGAGACCAGTCATTGCAGGGTGCAAGGATGTCTGACTCCTTCGCAGTCTTTATTGCTCTTATACAGTTTTTACAAGCAGCAAAAGTTAACATAGCAACAGCATTTTATTGGTGGATTCTCCTTGTCAATCCTTAAGAATATCAGCCAGGGGCATCAGCAAGGGGCAGTTTTCTGCACCATCCTGTTGATGTGAACTAGGTGAGATCATGTACCAGCCTGGGGTAGTTTCCTACTTCACCATGGCGATATGAACTGGATGAGATCATGCAGGGATTTGAGGCATGCAGGCATTTGAGGTAGGCAGTTTGCTGCTCACGACCTCTATCTCTACAGTTATTATTAACTCTCCGTGAGTATGGCTGTTTCCATAAAAATAGGAGTTGTCGCTGATAAGAACCAGCATTCTCTAGAAATGTCTTCCAAATTTTCTGATTTATTGGACTAATAGATTGCAAGCATCTCCCCTTTTCTCTAAGATCTCAAAGCAAATTATCTATTTTAATTTCATGTCCACAACAAGAGTTCTATGAAGTAAGTTGGATTTTAAAAAGCAAGTGTCCTGAAGTCATTCAGAGGACTTCCATGGTTGAGGGAGAATCTGAAACAGGCTTCCATAATTCTAATCAGTTATTAACCACTATATTATACTGGTTGGCCTGCCAAATTGTAACTGATTAATTCGCTTTTTTTCTTTGGTTCAGCTGTTATACTTGGTTGCCACTTAATTTTCATTCTTAATCGCTACATCTTTCCATTATGGCAGGTTTGTCACAAATGAGTTACTTTGGAATCACTAGAAGAAATGCACTGTTACAAATGAAATGAAAAAGTGTGTGGTCCAATATTCTTTTCTAAAACATGATTGTCAAAAATTGTTGCAATGATTTCCAATTATACCAAACAAAACTTGGTGCAAAAAGTTCTTGGCTCCCCAAATAACCTTAGGTAAAAAAGCAGCCAAGAGGCGCAAAGTGACCTTGCTTTTTGCATTACCATTCTCTTCATCATGGCTTTCCCCTGTCCCTGTAACATTAATTCTGCCCTTAAGTACCTGACACAGTGACATAGATAGAGGTGATACATAGCCGTAGGAAGAGAATAAGATTCTTAAAAACTTGGTAAGGAAAGTTTTCTTCCTGGCTATAATGTGCAGCAGATGGATTTTAAATATGCATAACAAAAATGCAATTTGTTTATGGTTACTAATAAATGCGCAGGGTAAATCATTAAGTATTCTAAATAAATTAAATGATAGTGTGCTTAAAAATTGATCCCTGCCTGTGCTCACACCAACTAAGCACTATAATCTGGTACTTTATCCTTCTCAAGGCTGCGCAGTAAGCATTCTACATTTTAAAAGTGCCCGAACTATTTTATTAGACTACTGAAAAGCAATTTATGCAAACAATAAAGAGCAAAGGAAAATGTCATTTACCGAAATGGTTGATTTGAAAGTCTTCCACAAACTACATTGCCTTGCATACAATTTTATATCATGCATTTGTCTTATAATTAATTATTTCCTTTACTATTAAATGAGCTTTCTGTACCCCCATCTTTTTGAGTATTGATTCTTATCAGTGACTGCAGTTTAGCTTCACCATTGGTTCCTTGCTGACTAAAAAAAAAAGTAATTTTCAAGTTTAAAATTGTATTTTACAAGGTAAAAAAAAAAAAATCCCCCTTTGTCCTAAGCTTGGAAAATTCAATAAACACCTATGCTGCTGATGGTATCATGTGTACAATGCATTTTATGTGTTGTGTATTTTCCTGTTTTTGTGTAATTTGCAACTATTGGGCAATATTCTACCGTGTTTATTCAAAAAACTCTACTTATAAATTAGTAATTTTTATTATAAATATTTTATTAATTTCCTAATTTTACAATCTTAAGTACTTAATAAGCAACATGTTGTCTGGGTCTATTAGTAATTCAATGTACATAATAACTTTTTCAGTCTAGTCCAATATTACACCATCTAGGGCAGACATGTCAAACTCGCGACATCACGTGACATCGCGCAATGTATCGGAATTTTTTCGCCATTGCTGGCAATAGGGTGGGCGTGGCTCCGGTATGATGAAACCGTCCCACGGGCCTGCAGTTTGACACCCCTGATCTAGGGCTTCCTTGATCCTCTCTTATTTCAGTAGTATGCATTTTTCCATATTGGGCAAATACAATTAAATATAGACATATTCATCACATTTTTCTGGTATTATACATAATATCGATAGTATCAATTTATAGTATCTTTTCTAGACAAAATATATTTCAAGTGCATTTGCACTTAAAATCCATTTATTCAATCAATATCATCATTTTCCTGTTTTTTTTATATTTTAATTTCCCATCAATGTTCAAAATATCTCTATTGCTTATAATTTAGTCCCCAATTTTCAAAGCTATATTAGTTCAAAATTGATCTTGTAGTTTCCTCTGTTGTTGTTGTTAATTGCAAAGTCATGTCCTACCCATCGCGACCCCATGGACAATGTTACTCCAGGCCTTCCTGTCCTCTACCATCTTCTGGAGTCCATTTAAGCTCACGCCTACTGTTTCAGGGACTTCATCCAGCTACCTCATTCTCTGTCATCCCCTTTTTTTGTTGCCCTCAATCTTTCCCAGCATTTGGCCCTTCTCCAGTGAGTCCAAAGTATTTGAGTTTCAACTTCAGGATCTGGCCTTCTAAAGAGCACTCGGGGTTGATCTCTTCGAGGATTGACTGGTTTGAACGCCTTGCAGTCCAAGGGACTCGCAGTCCAAGGGACTCTCCAGCACCATAGTTCAAAGGCCTCAATTCTTTGTCGCTCAGCCTTTCTTACAGTCAAATTTTCACATCCATACATTGCAACTGGAAAAAACCATGGCCTTGACTATACGCACTTTTGTTGGCAGGGTGATGTCTCTGCTTTTAGTATGCTGTCTAGATTTGCCATAGCTTT